AGCAAACCGCACCCGTCGTCCCCTGACCCTTAGTTGGCAATTTGAACCCCTGGTTCTTGTAGAGGGTAAATAGGAAACCACCCCGAACCACCAAACCACGAATCAAACCACCAATAAGAAAATTAACGGCTTTGGCCAACGAAACAACGCCGCCGGTTTCGGCCAGGTGGAACTGCACGGTGATGTTGCTGGGCGAGCCCAGGTGGCTGGAGACCCTGGCGCTTAATTTGGATTGTGCTGTTCTTTTCTGGTTGAGCCGCGGGGCCCGAACACGAGCTGACAGTTGGTGGTACCAACATTGCTAAGGTGCAAAAACATACGCATATTATCATATAAGCCTTACCAGAACCTCGATTTGACCAGGTAGTACTTTTGGTCAAACATACGTAGGGCCACCTAATGAAATTGCCAATGGGGGGTGTTGGGCGCTGAGTTGGGCTTTTGGCTGTGCAAGTCCAACTCTGGAGGGTCCGTGGCACCGGTGGGATCTTATCTACCCAAAAAGGAATTTGATTTGCCGTTGGGCCGTTAGTTTTTGCGGAGAAAAACAAGGTCACGGCGTTGCTAATGACCACGCTGCTTTTGACCATGGCGACCAAGCACGTTTACCAAAATTCCTGCGATTTATGAACATTTCGCTGCATCGTTGACACGCACCATGTTTATTTTGTTCCATTTTTACCATGGCTTTGACAAGAAAGGGCCAAATCGCCTGAGAATAGCAGCACTTTGCGCTGCTGGCCAACACACGCGCGTTTCTTGAGGCTGCCGGCCTCTGTTTTTTTCAAGGCAACTTCTCAAAGCTCGCGAGCGAGCCGCCTTCATCTGTTTCCAAGTCATACATAGCCGGACATTGTGGCCTCGCTCAAAAATAGCAGCACTTCGTGCCGCTGGCCAACACATGTGCGTTTCTTGAGGCTGCCGACACCAGGACAAAGGGCTTCGAGCAGATATCGCACCAACAGATGCCGCAAAATGCGCGAAAGGATCAGACGAACCAGCGAAAACTTCAAAGTGAGCGTCCAACAAGAACGGATCACACGTCCACAATGCCTGGAACCACGAGTCAACAATGGGGCAGGGTGCACACGCGACACGCAGGCAACAGAAAGAGCGAGAACAAAATGATGACCCGTGGTCCTGGAGCCAAAGGTTGGGCCAGTGAATGCCTCAGGGGTGAAAGACGCATCTGCAGCAGTTGAGCGGGTGTGCTTATCATGCCCCCCCCAACCCCCCCCCCCCAGAACCATGTTATTTTGTAATCCGGTAACAGAGCAGGCTGGTCTGCAGCAGTTGAGCGTTGAGCGGGTGTGCTTGTCATACCCCCCCACCCACCCCCCCTCCCCCCCCGCCCCCGAACCATGATGCATGAACGCAGGGATGAACGTCCAAAAAACAAAGAACTCCACGGGGTCGTGAAGGACGCCGTGAGCAAAAACAAGAAAGATACAGATGATTCTGCGATGGTCGCCAAGGCATCAGCAGGGGCACTCTTAAAGGATCTGAAATCTCTACAATTCCAAATCTTGAGTGGGACTTACATCATGAGGAAGTTCGCCCGTTTTACCTTGAGCTCGCTAGCAATGGGGGTCGAAAGCTTGGCCAAACTGATCGATTCGACCTAGAGGGAAATCAAAAGGAACACCGGTTTCTCCTCGGTTTCCCTACGGAATCATCCATACGCCCTATGTTGTGAGAAACTGACCACATCAAAGCGCCTTTCAGTGCAAAAAGGGCCCCGCCCAAAGGATTCCTCGGCTGGGCCAATTTGCGAGTCTGTTTGGGGAGGGTCAAAGCTTGAGTGCAACATAGTGCAACCACATGTAAACGGAAACAAATTTCCCTGCCCCTAGCATGTTTGCAAGAGCTGATTCTCGTCAGTGCCTTGCGCAGGCCTGAAATTTGGCTGTCAATGTGAGTATTGTCTTTTCAACTCGTTTCCTGCTTGCAGTGTTTAGGACATGAACTCTGGGCCAGACTTAGGCTGGTCAACACAACGATTGCCGGTTGCAATGGAACACATGAAGGAACGACACAACAAAAAGCAAACCGTTACAACGGGAGGCCTTTTGTGAATGAGCTGCAGCGTGGCATGATGCACTGGTGAATTAATGTAGATGGAAGAGGACTTCGCGCACCACTTTGAAACGATGGGACACCACTGTTTGTTGTCGTTTTGTACAGGGGATCAACATTGGTGCAGGATTGCATCTGTCCACAGTATCACTCGCCCTCGCACCATTTCTCTCAAGACTCATCTGCGCCACCCTTGAGTGCGACGCCTAGGGTCAGAGCACGAACCGCTCAGTCCAGATTGACACCTCTTCTCAAAGTGACCCCTACAAGTGAAACACCTTGTGGTGAGTGAAAGGTCCAAGTAACTTCCAAGTGAAAAGGGCAAGCAATGTCGGTAAGGTCACCAATGCGCAATAATATCACGCAAACAAAAGCCGTACCACTTATACAAATGCGCAAAACAAACACAATGTCGAAGCCAACAACTTCTGGAAAAGGTCAATCCAGTCGCCCATCAGAATCAGTTTAGTTCAAATCCAAGGGCTTCAGCAAATGTAGACTGAGCCTGAGTGAAGGTTCAAACTTCACTGCTTTAGGCCTCTGAGATGTCTAAGTCATTCGGTGCGGGTGTCTGGGCTGAGCTGGCTCCTAAATGTCAGTTCGCTGGCCTCTGGGAAATGTCCGGAACCCTGAAGAAACGTACAGAACTTGCGATCGGTTTGATGGGCTGGGAATGCGTTGGAATAGCCCATCCCTCGCGGGCTTCCTTCAAGGGAATCCCCGTATTCATTCCCAACCCCCCAGTAAGAAAACAAGCCACTGGATTTTCTGTACAAAATCCACAGAAGCAACATTTGCTTTTTTGGTGTTTGGCTTGTAGGCATTTCGACAGATGGCTTTTTTGTATCATCCTTTGATATGCACGTGGAACATATTGGGGCAGCTGACAATGCTGAGGATGGAGAAACTCCTGCACTAGTTGGTAGGCAGTCGGCCCCATTTTTACTTTAGGGCTTCATCTAAGTGGTGATCGCCGTGGATTTTCCACAGAGTTTCCCAACCAAAGCAGACCCATCCGCATCCAAGGCCAAAGCCCTCCGCTACAAATGCTGTGATACAAAAGTGGTTCTGTTTCCCGTCAGGACTTAGGAGGTTCCCTTGGTCACTGAAAACGTGGCCCTGGAACCTCACGCCCCACAATCATGCCCAACCTTGCATGCCGAAAAGGGGGTATAAAACGGCTTATGTATTATACTGCTGAATGCGCTATTCTGGTTTCCGGCACATGGCAAGTAGGGAAGGGAAGAGCCAGTAGGGAACAAAGAGTACCCTCCACTGTACTTCGAAGCATGTGGTTGGTGCACTTGCAAGACATAGTTGGAATCCAGCACCGTGGAATGGGGTGGTGTGCTGTTGGCTTCTTTAAACAATCTCGAACAAAGGGTCCTTATAAAACCACCCGTTTGCTCGTTGGCTCGTTTTACGAAGAAAAAGACAACCCCTGCTCAGTTGCTCGTCCCTGAAAACCAGCCAGCTATCTGTCAAGAAACTCGTATGTCTGACGGCTGACTAAGATCCGAGTTACAACAGCTGGGCAAACGATGGCACGACGGCACTTCCCACAAGCCGAGACGTCTGGCAGGGAGTTGACCCATGCAGTCGGATCCCCACCCCCGGTGCATCCCTTCTCTAGGGAAACCTTGAGTCATCCACAGGGATTGGCACAGGAACAGCTCTAGGGAAAGCCTTCCCAGTCTTTCCAGGAATCCTTCTTTGAGGAAACTATCGAAAGCCCAGGGGAAACCGCTTGTTAAGAACGATTTCGAGCCCATGCAGCTGTTTCCTCCCCCTCGGAAGCTATGAAGGGATTCGGTTTGATTGGTAGCGCCAGCTCCATCTGCACCTAGGAACCTTCCTGGGGCCCTCATGTTGGAAAAGGGCCGGTGAACTCACTTGGTGCAGTGCACATTGACATGGAACCAAAACGGAATCATTGTTAGACTCCTCTTGAGGAATGGGTTCCGAGTGAATCTGCAGGGGGGTATCCCATCTGCTACTTACCTCCATTTTGTGGCTTCAAAGTGACTCAGGGGGTGGGGAGTCCGCTGCAGAAACTCGCGACGCCAACGAGGAAACGAGCGCCACGGCGCCGTTTTCAACGGAACTGGCTGCTCGACTCGAAACGCGGCAAGGCGAGCTGGGCGCGACCCGCTGCCACGGATACTGAGCGGACGGCGAAGCGCGTTGCGCCGACTTCGGCTATCAGCACTTCTAGGGAAGCTTCCCGAGTTTTTCCAGAAACCATCAAACACCTAGGGGAAACGGCTGGTTTTCGAAAAAAGCGTTTCAACTGAATGGTTGGAACCAACCCTTAGAACGGATGACTCTTGCCATTGCCACAATAAATTTATCTTGCCTCTCAAACTCCGGCACTCCACGCAGCGCTTGAAATCAGAAGTGAGATCGGGGCGACAAAAGCAGTGCTTGGGCACTGCGGGGCCACAGGGCATCCAACGGGCATCACATACGTGGGCTTAAAGGGCTCAGGTAGGGGTGGGTAGAAAATAAATAATATCCATCTGCGGGTCGTGCGCTTTTTGAGGACTGGGGTTAGCACCCCAAGCGAAAGCTAACCTTGAGTTGGCCCAAAAGCTGATGCTTAAATCAGGGGCGATTGGGAGAGCGGAACGCACGCCGATTTGTGGCCCTTTGATGTGTCAACTGTCTCAACATCACGCTGCGATTCGCACACTGATCCACCCGTGTGTAAAAGTCTCCAACTGGCCATGACTGAACATGGATCAAACTAGAAAACTGGACATATCGAACGGTCAACAAAGGGTCCAACAAACGGCCACACAAGTCAAACAAGACAAACAAAGGTTTAAACAAGGTCAAAAGGCAAACTTTGAGCATGAGTTTGTGAGTCACTTGAGGCCATTCATCCAAACTGAGTGGATGCCCTTTCTGTGCAAGCGCCGAGCTCAGAAGAAGCCCAGACTGCTCGACTGCTCCTTGCACAAAGCAAAAACTTCCAACTGGAAAGTAAGGCACTTCCGATCGAGTGAATTGGCAAGGAAAGGCCACTATACTTTGATTATTACTCGAATATGTGTCTGTGTGTCTGCGTCTCTCTGTGTGTGTCTGTGTGTGTGTGTGTGTGTGAGTGTGTGTGTGTGTGTGAGTGTGTGTGTGTGTGGGTGCGTGCGTGCGTGCGTGTGTGAGCGTGCGCGCGCGTGTGCGCGTGCACGTGCGCGTGCGGGTGTGCGTGTGCGTGTGCGTGTGCGTGTGCGTGCGCGTGCGCGTGCGCGTGCGCGTGCGCGTGTGGGTGGGTGGGTGGGTGGGTGGGTGGGTGGGTGGGTGGGTGGGTGGGTGGGTGGGTGGGTGGGTGGGTGGGTGGGTGGTGGGTGGGTGGGTGGGTGGGTGGGTGGGTGGGTGGGTGGGTGGGTGGGTGGGTGGGTGGGTGGGTGGGTGGGTGGGTGGGTGGGTGGGTGGGTGGGTGGGTGGGTGGGTGGGTGGGTGGGTGGGTGGGTGGGTGGGGTGGGTGGGTGGGTGGGTGGGTGGGTGGGTGGGGTGGGTGTGGGGTGGGTGGGGTGGGTGGGGGTGGGTGGGTGTGGGTGGGTGGGTGGGTGGGTGGGTGGGTGGGTGGGTGGGTGGGTGGGTGGGTGGGTGGGTGGGTGGGTGGGTGGGTGGGTGGGTGGGTGGGTGGGTGGGTGGGTGGGTGGGTGGGTGGGTGGGTGGGTGGGTGGGTGGGTGGGTGGGTGGGTGTGATTATGTGTGTTTGAAGGGTACCCATTTTGAGGTTGATATACAGGGGAAAGAAAAATAGATCTCTGAATCCCATTTTGGGGTCCACATCCCTATGTTGACAAATCAAATGGTGTCCCAAAAGTGTGAAGTCCAAGAACTCAGACTCAGGCGATGTTGTGTTCTATTTCTATCTGGGGGGCTCCCATGACTTGTTTGAGTCGGGCAATGCGAACAGGTTGATTGAGTGAGGGAGTTTGCCTGCAACAAAGGTTTATTGCTTTTCAGAGGCTGTGGATCAGAGTGTTGCAGGATTTAGCCTTCGCAAACAGGAACATGTTCGGACTTTCAGGGTCCTTCCCCTAACATCCCAGTGCTTACCCTGGCTGAAAGGGGAAAAGAGGCAAGGCGAGCCCTATGAAAGGCCGGCCTCTCAGTTCCAAATCATTCCATCCGGGGCGGCAGGAGCGGGGAAAATCACAAGACATGTGGTACGACGGTATGACCCTTTGAGAATCTGATAGTGGAGTTTGGGCACACGGAACATATCAATCCCTACCTTCCAATTCACAGGTCACGGCCTGAAGTGGTTGCCTGGAAGCGTTGGGAGCGGACAAAAAACAAAACACGGCTGACCGCAACACGCTGCCTACGCAGCACACCTCCACTGGGCCAATTTTGGCCTTCCCAAGAGTCTTTTAAACTCGCCAACGCCCACACCCCGCACCGACCTGCTAGAAAGGGAAATCCTTTTCGGGGTTGACCATCTCTATTGGTTTGGTGCACCAACTCCAAATACGGAGGTCAGGGAAAAGTGTAAAAATACCCGCTCTCTTTTCGTCTCTATTGGGGAACGTAAGAAACTATGGCCTATTGAGCGATAATCTGAAGAAAAAAGGACTTAGGGAGATCTGGGGATTGGAGCCCTTGCCAAGATGTTCCCCAAACCACGCCTCGTGCGTAACATGATCTATACACAAAATTGCTCCAGAGAACATCCGACCAAGGGCAAATCGACTACGGCCCAGGGGCTAACAGGATTCCCAGTTGGCCCAAAAAGTACACCCAAACCAATGGTCCTGGCGAAACAAAAGATGGAACCTCACCTTGTGGAGGTTCTTTGGACCATTTCGCTGGGACCATTTGCCTGGCAAATTTATGGCAACGTGGGCTGAGTTGATTTGTTGTCGGGAAAACGGGCACGGGAGGTTTGGGTCCTGGAAAGAAATAAGAAACAACAAATGGGTCTACCCGTTTTCGAGGGTACCCTTTTCTTTCTATTTTTGTGGGAGGGGGGGATTAGAGGGAAACCAAAAGGAACACCACCCTTTTGGAGGGGTCCACCAAAGACACGACCATACGTCCAGTGATCGATTCCATGTAAAACCAGGGCAAAAGAAAGCATATTATTTCTCAACTGCTTCTTTAGGGACGAATTCAAAGGTTTGACCACTTTTGGGGTGGCCACACATGGGCCAAGGGCAAACCAGACTTGGTCAGACCGATTCGCTGCTGGTTGGTGAGCGCAAAAAAGGGGAACGAGGGCGAACTGGCAGTTCCTCTGGCTTTGCGTCTTTTTTCCAGCCAAGTCACTTGAATCTTCCGGGCGCGAGGGGAGGCAGCGGCAAGGTTCCGGTACCTCTTCCATTGGCTTTGCAAAGGTTCAAGCCAAGTCTCACTTCGTTGGGCCAGAAAAGTCCGAAATTCTCGTACGATCCAAACCCAACATTCTTCCAGCTTCCCTCTAAGTTGGGAGCCCGGTGGTTTGGAGGTTGGGTGTTCCCCAAACTCAGTAACTCCCAACCACCGAAGGGGTATATACCTGATACCCACGGCTCTGACTGAACCGGGACTGGCATTGAGCGCCTCTGGAAATCCATTCTGATAAAGGTGTGCGAGCCAAGAGTTCCAATGATTGATGCCTCGATGCCTCGATACCTGTGTCATATAACTTTCCAAAGGACACCCTCCCCCTCACCCCCAAACACGCTTCCCGTCTAAAATCCAATTGGGCTGTGTTTGGGGGCCGGGCGGGGGGAGGTGGGAGTTTGGGGTATGCGACTCTGCGATTGCCAAAGTTTGAGCCCCACTAGCACTGTCCAAGCTGCTTAGAAAGCAGATCTATGACAGCAAGGAAGCAGGCTAAGGTTGATTCACGACATGTTGCAAGCAAAGGAGCAAAGGGTAAACCTTTTGTAAATGAAGTCTTTACACCTGTAGTAAATGTTGCAGAAACCTGCTACGATTTGCCGAGGTTTGTAGTTGAATGCTCGCTTGGTTCAGGGAATCCACCGCCATTTTCGAAACAGACCGAGTGCTTTCCGGCGTCCCGATTCCGGAACACGAGGCCCTTGCCAAAAACAGCTCGGCCCAAACTTCGAGCCTGCGCATAGCCAGTTTTGCGGGGTGACCATTGCGGGGTGACCAGGGAACATGTGTCTTAAAAATTGGAAGCACCCAAAATTTGACTCGGTTCTCCTGTTGGGACCCTTTTTAAAATTACCAAAGGAGTACCCTGAAGCAAACAGCCACCCCCACAGGTCTGAGGCAGGCACTGGTACATGTTGGGCTGATTCCTCAACGGAACGGATGGAAGGCCGAATTGTGAAAGACACAATTTGGCAACGAAGAACGTGCAACGGCCGACTTGTTTTCGGTTGCAACAAGCTGGGCGGAACGATGAGGCGCGGCCATTGGCTTGCGCCGCTTGGGACAAGTAAGCTGATTGTTGGAGGGCCCATACGATCTGTGGCGACGCCTATCCAAAGCTCCAGCGACCATTATCCAAATCAATCAAAGCATATCAAAGCCAGACTGACCCGACTCCCTGCAAAAAGTACACGCCTTGCTGGCTACAAAAGAAAATGAAGGGCACCCAAAAGGACACAAGGCAAAGTGAGTTAGGCTTGGCAATGCCAAAGGACGAGCTGCGACCAGTCGAAAAATCCATTTGCGGCAAGGGTGCCAACCAAAGCAGAAGTTAGACTGCCAAGTTTGGAAGTTGTCAACCTGGTTTAAGTTATGACCCACTCATAAGTCCCCAAAGTGCAATTAACCCTGTCATTAGTGGGTTGGCTAATCACTTGCTAGCTTGGCCGAAGATTCAAGTACCCATTCTCTTCAGGGCTCCGTCCTTGGAACTGTTCGGCCCCCAAATGACCCCAGTAACTTTCCCATTGAGTTGCGAAGTCATCTTTTTGAGTTTCCCTGGGCTTCCCATGTAAAGGACCTTTTGGTCGGCCCCCACATCTTGGCCAGAAATAAAGTGGGTTATTTTTGAACCACAGCCCCTTTTGGGCCCCATTTCAGGAACAACCTTGACATGATCCGTGAGCGTTCTTCTAGTGGTCATTCTTTGCAAGCACCAGCCGCCTGCCCAGGTTTTGCATGGTTTCCGGGAAGAAAGGACTTTTTGCAGTCATGAAGCCACGATAAAGAATTCTGTAACCACTGGAGTAATCTAGAAGGGTTCCTTGGAACTGTTCTCTGGAAGCCATCTCCGCGTTCCGGAAGCTTCCTGGAAGCCCCCAGGCTTCAGCGACCATTGAAACGCGGGGAGACCCCCCTGTCCGGGCGCCCTGATGTGGGTTGGCACCATGATCAGCTTCCCAATTTGTGGTTTGGAGCCTGGCTTGGGGAAGAACCAGGGCTTCAAATCGACTGTTTGCACCAATCCAAAGCACCAATTGAGGTGTTACCTCTGGTTCATTTCTTGAGGTCTGTCTCAACATGGCATCTAACAAATAGGTGGGTTCCTTTTGAGAACCACTCCAATCAGGGATGCTGGGATGCCTGACATGAGGGTTTCCTGTCGAGCCGAGGCGCATGAGCCCCCGTGCCGCCAGCTTGGGGCAGGGTGGCTGGGACACTGTGGTCCTCCCGGAGCGCGGGGATGCCCTGAGCGCCGAAAAAAACCGACTGGGTGCCTTAAACTTGGTCGCTGGCTGTTTTTCCCCTCTGCTAAAAACATCGTATTTTTTTGCGGGCCCCATGGAAAACTCTCCGTTTCCCAAAAAGTTGAAGTCCAAAGATCCCACCAAAAAGCCATAAAGTAAAGGGCCTTGTTTGGGTATGAGTTTTAATCGGATACTACCTCCAAAGCTCGGTACGCATGTAGGATCCCTTGGCTCCATCTGTTCTTTTGGATCTCCCATGGACATGATGTCCAAAGAGTCCCCCATTATTGTAACAGTTACACCCGTTTGGCCTTGCGAATCAAGCCCTCTCGCGAGAATGTGGGCCCGCATTTTGAGGGACCTGTTCTCATTAATTTGACCCATAAACTCGCGGGAAATTTTAAACATGTATCAAGTACCAAGTGGTTTGGACATCCAGGTAGGTTGTCTTCAAGTGCTTGGAACCCGGACCCAAAATGGATCCCTCACACGGGAATCCTCATCTGGTACTTGGATGTTTGGGCAGGCCCAGAAGCATCCTCTACCCACCCTCAAGTACCCCCCACCCCCCAACGGTTGGGGGGTCAATAAGACATTTCGGCCAAGTAAGTTGCCAACCTTTGCCTTTAAGGGACCTTGTGGGTGACAAATCGGGGCTCTCAAAAAATCCGGTTTTCTCAGCTTCCCAATTCGTGGTTTGCAGCCCGGTGGATTGGAGGCGTGGGTTCAATTCCCCAAGCCACCAATCCAGAGCAGCAACCAAGGGTAACCAAGGGTTACCTGAAATTGATTACCCCTTTGGTTTCTGCTGAGAAAAACACATATGACTGATCGCACCAAGCTTTGCCAGGAACCCCCTTGCAAAATGAGAGGGAACCTGTTTTGGTTCAAAGGGAAGCCAACAGGCAACCAACCTTCCACTTGTTTGAGCGCCCTGGCAAAATGAGACATACTCTCAGCAGTGATAGATTCAATTCAAAACCACCAAAGGAAAATCAACCAATATGATTTTAGGTATACATATGTAAACTTGACTGCGCTGCCCTCAGATCCACTGCTTTGAATAACTTGTGGGTTCAATGGAAACCCCCAGTAAACCAACTAAACACCTAAAAGCCTGGTTGTTGGGGCGACGTGCAATAGTCATAATTCAATTCCTTTAAAACCACCATATTCGGTAAGCAACTGGACACATATTTACGACACACGGCTGTGCGTCGCGTGAGGCGTACGAGTCGGCCCTCGGCCGTCGGCCAAGCGGCCAGCCGGCGGCGCGGCCGTCGTCGTGGGGCTCCGGTTGCGCCCCCGTGGCGGTGCGGAGCTGGCCCGAGGCGAGGTGCGCCTCAGCTCCATCTGGCCAGCCCCAAGATGGGTTGCCCGGGATGTGAATGGAACACCTGCGGTCCAATTTCTGGTGAATTTTGACCCACTCCCATCCCTAGGGAGGTGGAGGGGGTCCGGAACCTAATTCTTTTTCTAGTCCCCGCAAGGGAGCAATGAAGATCTGCGGGTCGAACTCCCTCCCCCCAATTCCATTTCGGGGTGGGGATGCTCTGCATTTTTGGGTTGTGTCCTTGACAGTTCCCAAAAAGTTCTTCCTAAGGGATGGTTGGCCTGGGACGAGTTCCACCCTTTGAAACATCTTCAGGGGAACCAAGCCGAAAACGCAGCCTTCATATCCTGCAGGTCTGGTTTACTGGCCAGGTCGAAGGGGTGCAACCCGTTGACCTTGATCAGCAGAAAGCGAAGCAATCTGATGGTTTGGAGCCCGGTGGTTTGGTGGTTGGGTGGTTTCCCATTAAAGAACCAGGGGTTCAATACCATCCACCAATCCCAACCACCAACTGAGGGTTACCTACAAAACAATACCAACACCGCAGGTCCTAAGAACCAAAAGGCAAAGCGCATCTTGGCTTCTGCGCATCAGCGGAGCAGGGAACCTCGACTGGGTCTAAATTTGCACGCGCCAACGTGTACATAGATTGAAAAAAGGTGCAAGTGCAAGTACGCATCCACGCACCATGAATAACCATATACAGGGTTCTACCTTTTGTCTGCCCCCCAAAAAGAGTTAAACCCAGGGGTGGTTGATTTCCCTAAAAGCAAAACCCCTGGGTTTAAGTCTACCCTGGGGTAGTCAAAAAGTAGAACCCTGACCATATATGCTTCGCATCCCCCTCTCGCCCTTCTCGTGAGGAAGCGGCCCTCTTCCGCTCCGCAGCGGACAAATTGTCCGGCTCCGGCAGTGCGCCCATGGACTTGCTGGCACGCATTTCTCGCCTGGGACGCAAAGGACCAATTCAACCGGCCCGTTTGTTAGCCCTTTGTGGATTTCCGCGGGAAAGCTTTCTTGCGCAAAGGAGCTGGAAATGAAAGGTCTTGCTGCGCTAACTGGAATTCGTCCCCTTACCATGGAGCTGTAACCTGGGTTGAATGCCCCAAGCTTGCTCAGAAGCCCAGTGCATTTCCATAAATTTCGCCCCTAATTGTTTGCTGGGTTGGTTTTCAAGGGACCCCCCGCCCTTTTCTGGTCGGTCTATTTTGCAACCTCCTTCATATTAGTTGGATTTTGAGCCCCACCCCCATCCATGCCAAAAATGGACAAACAGTAGGCCAAGAGTGGGCAAAAAACGAGTTGACATTTCGAAAGCGCCGGCGGTGCAAACACGCCTGGTGTGCGAGTTTTCAGCCAGCATCAGTGCAGCATCAGTGTGTGTGTTGTTTGTGTGCAAACGTGAAGTTGCGACCAAATCTGAAGGTTGTTGTAGGGTACCCTGTTCATTTTGTTTAAAGGAAAACCAAAATCTGCTGGGCCCAAATCAACAAGCCATACCTCAGGTCAGATTGGCTTTGCTCGGTTTGGAAGTTACGGTGCTTCAGCCACAAACAGAAGAACCAACAGGTCAGACCAAGCCACAACAGGGTTGCCTGGTTTCTCTTGAGTCCCTGGACTTTATTTGACTTTTTCTGGGCAATCCGCTGAAAATGTGAGTTGCCAAGCAGTCCAGGGTAGCTTTAACTTGGTCCCTGCAAAACATAAAAAAAAAGCTGGGATATGTGCTAAATCCAAATCTAAGCTCTGAAAACACTCTAAAAACAAAATTCTAAGGAACCGTACAGCTGGAAACAAACAACCTTTTTTGTAGCCACCCACAAGAAATAGACAGAAGCAAGCAACAATCATGCAACAATCACGCTCCAAGAACCGTGAAGTTGCCCAAGGGACCCAACGGGGCCACTAAACATGGAACCACAAGGGGAAACCAAAAGGTAGGTCGTGAGGTTGCAAGTGCGCAGCGAGGCCTTGAGTGCTCAGGTGCCGAAACCATTCGGGTATGTCTTTCTTTAGGCACCCCCCCCCCCCTCCAAAAGGGGTGGTTTCCCTTTGGTTTCCCTTTAAACCATTTAAAAAAAGGGGTGCCCTCAAACAACCGACCCGCTCGCACATGCCAATGACTCTCTTGTTTTTGCGAATGGGGGAAACCCCGCCTGCGCCGTGAGAGCTCCAGGCCGGTGGAATGTTGGGACCTCGGGCCATGTTTTTAGCCCCTTATTTGAAACCAACCAAAAGAAGGCCCCCCCCCCAACTACCGTCTTAGCGGAAAGGAAGCTGCAAATGGCATTGCAGGCGTCGGCCCCTCGACTCCATTTCTAGGGGGTGGGGATGAATCCGTAGGATCTACTGCTCCCATTCAAGCTGATCGCAATTGGAAAACCAAACCAGCTGCGGTTTGGAGCAACTCGGCGTAAAGAAGCCCCCTGATCTGAACCTCTGGCTTGTAGATTTCAAGAAGTCAGGGAAACATGGGTTGGTTGCTCAATGGAACCACGATTTTGTTAAAGGAACTGACAACAACTATGGCTTGATTGTAGGAAGCCAATCACCAACAAACACAATGGCCATGGATTCGTATGTGCATCCGCACCCATCTTTGGCCTCCCCAATTTTAGCGGTCATTCACCCGGTCGGATCTGGAAACGAATAGAGTCGCTCCGGGCTTCCAGCAACCCTTAAGTCTGAAGTGCTGGTTGGGATTGGCGGTGGGAGTCAAGCGCCGCATGGTTCCTAAGGGTAAATCAGAAAGCACTCCAATTGAACGCTTCGGACTAGGAAGCCAGCTCCTGCAAAGCTTTTCGAGCTGCGCTTTAGACACTGAATCAGGGGACACGCCCCGTTTCCCTTGCTCAGAAGCCCAGCGGCCGTCTTACATTCACCTGATTTTGGGTTGTCCCCTTCCCAGCCAAGCGGCGCAGCATCGTAGCAAGCGCGCTCCTCCTACCGAGTGCTGCGGATGCCGCAAAGCGGGCCTTTTCCGTTCTTTGGGCAAATTACTCTGAACATCATACTGGGACGCTCGGATTACCGCCAGGTATATTCGTGCAGAGGTATAAGTTCTGGAGGCACGGAGGTATATGGTTATGTACCGCGTCTCCAAGGGCTGCACAGTCTTGCCTGCCCTGCATTCATGTCCATGTTCAAGAACAACTCGACTTTTTCTCAGAAGAACTCTCAACTTGTCCCCCACCTTCAAAATCAAGGGTGTTTGTGAGAATTGCAGAGCCCACCGTTTTCTTTGCAACCCACTGCCGGTCATTGGCTAAACGGATAAAATTGGCATAAGCTGGTTTTGCAGTGCTTGTGGAGCTGCAAGGGCGGCACGGAGTTCAAGGTCGTCGGCAACGCGGGTCAACGGGGTCTTGATAATCGCAGCGACCGCAACTGCGCCACTTCATGAAGGATTTACCTCAGCTTTGTTTTGCCTTTGGACATGTTGCTTCACGCTTCACGGGGAGGTAAATGAGATCAAGAAAGCCCCACGCTTAGGTTTGAGTGTCAATGATTTCAGCGCTGAGCATTGCAGTATACAACGCTTGGAAGGCCATTTTAAGTCTATAAGTAATGGTGGTGAACAGCATAGCACAGAAGCCCAGGTAGCCTCTTTTGAGCCTCCAAGTTTATTTGGCGCCCCACTTTCCTTAAGGCTCACAGCGAATAGGGCACGATCGTTTTACCAGGGCACATCCGTCGCCTGCCAACGGGTGGTGTCGTTGGTCAAACTCCAAGCTGACCCAAACCATCTTCTTGTTTCGGGTGGCCTTGGATTTTCTATTAGTTCAGGTGGCATTTTCGGAGTGTTGGAGGCTTGAATGCAACATACATAGGATAATCGCATGGGTATTGCCCTGTGGGCCAGGCATGAAGCACCCTTTCGGCATATTTCTGAAGGGGAAACAAGCTTGTTTTTTTCTCTCACCCGCCGATCTGCAGATACCAAGAAACCTTCATCGGCCCTTTCGACTCGCGGTGACAACGCAAACCAGCCCATTTGTATCTTTGAGGAGTCCATTTGAGTCACAATCACAACCTGGCACTACAGGGCTTACCCAAAAACCATATAAACGCGGCCGCACCTAGTTCTTGCTGTGCGGGTGTGTGTCTGTGTGTCTGCGTGTCTTTGTGTGTACACCGCCTTCTCTTGAAGCCCCCTATTGTGAGAAGCACCCAAACAGAGCCAACATATTTGGGAAGTGGACCCAAAGCTTTCACCAAGTCATTTTGCCATGTATTTACATATTTGGGCGGGGGGTTAACACACGCACACTTGATCGGCCTCCCGGTGCTTCTTCGCTTGCGGGCTCTCAGGGTTGGACCTGTCCGACGCTTTTGATCCGCTCCACATGGCAAGACGAACCGATTCCGAGCTGCGAAAATAAAACATACATTTGAGTCTCATGGAAAATAAAGACAAACAATGCGAAACCTTAGAAAAGGTAAACCAACAAATAAAAATGGTGTCTATTTGAGTAAGTCCTCAAACTGACTGTCAGCCAAAGGGTGGTTCACATGGAAGACGTAAGAGAACTCGTCATTTGCGCAGACTCCTTCCATCCCGTGATCCCAAATATATCCTGCACTGGGGTCCGGGAAAGAACAATGAGCAGAACCTGGGCAAAATTTCTGGAGTACATATGGGTGGCCCCTCCTTCTTTGAGGGTACCCTTGTTTGGTGGGTTTAAAAAGAAAAACCTACTGAACACCTCAATTTATTGAGGTCCCTACAGAAAACATATATATATTTATATATATATATTTATAGATATATGCATAAATTGAGAGTCCGCTCGTTAGGTTGCAGCGTTTGTGGATCCACTTCAACTGTGCTTGCAGGGAGTCTCGGCAAACAGAGCTTGCTAGTCTCTTCCTTGCCACTCAGCTCCCTGGCGTGAACTTGCCTCTTTGGGTTTCTACAACGCCCCGCAGTCGTTCCTTGAACTGGGAGCTCAGTCAGCAGCGCCCAAACCATTGACTTTGGTCCTACTAGCATGCCTTATCAAGGTGTAGAAAGCCCTTTCTATGACCCCACATGAAACCAAGTAGTAGACAGACTCATGGGAGGAGTTCCCAAAGAGTTCATAGGCGAACTTACCAGATAAGGACCGAACCAAAAACGGCAAACTCGCAGAATGGGCTTTGCGCTTTGATTTGGCACAACCCAGCCTGGGCGACAGGCATTCTGCATCTACCTCCGCTCCGTGATGATGAATCAACGTGCCTGAGAGGCAAAGCAAATCTGTGGAATCCACACCTCCCAAATCCCGTGGCCAAGTGAAATCCAAGCCTCCCTCTCCTGCGCCTCTTATCCCCCCCCAAAGAAACAAACTTGTAGCGCCACAACCTCTTTTGGGCTAAGTACTTTGGGGGCCACGTGACAGCCATCTGACAACCAACATGATACGTCCGACTGGGCCCATACCATATTCTGCAAGCCTGTGAACGTCCAATAGAATCAAAATCATGACCCCAGCGAGAAACCAAACATATTTTCAGAAACACGATGTCTTGGTGGCTGTTGACCCCTCTGCGAAAAGTATATCTTTTGTGGAGCAATGAAACATGCACTGTTTCCTCAAAAACTCAAGTCCAAAGATCCGTTGTCAAATAGCCATAGAGGCTTGACTCATTGACTGGGTCTCCGCCAAACCCGGGGAACAAGCCCTTGGGCCAGGTGCCGGTGTTCTCCTTGCACTCCCCGCTCTTCCCTCAGCGAACAGGTGACCCTCGGCCGTCGGTCAACATCAGAGTGAGCCCGCCCTTTTGGATTTGAAGGGGACAGGGAACCAACCATGTGGACCAAGCTTCCATTTGCTTTTTAAGTGCCCCGGACAAAAACCCATAAGAAACATACTTCCAGTGATAGAGTCCCTTTGAGACCATTCTAGAATACCACATATCCATTTCAGGAAATGGAAATACAAAGTTGCAACCGGCATTTGCTGGTAGGGAAACAGGAGGCTTTCAAGCAATCCGTCTGATAATCTGTCTTCGTACTTTGGCGAACTTAGAAAATAAGGGATTTGCAAGGTGACACAAGGTCATAGCTATGATGAGGCTCCTTGCGAGTCGCGTCTCAAGGCTCGGAAATCAACTACTCAACTCGTTCCCTGTATGGGCAGGTTTAGTGACCCGTGCACGTCGGTCAAGTTTGCCGGCCGCTCCTTCCATGGTGAGTATGACCTGGGGTTCTCTCTTGGGAGTGAGCAACTTCGGGATGTCAGAAGTGCACCTTTGCTTCAGTCCTATTCCCTCCTGACTTGTTCAATTTTAATACCCAGCGCCCAGCACCCCCGAGCCAAGAAACCATGAATCGAGCACACATGGAGGGAACGGGTTTGGATTCTGTCGGTTTCCCTTTCAAAACATCTGATGCCGGCGGGGGGGTTCGCCAGCCCTTTCATCATGTCGTTCCTTTCAATTGCCGAACCCTGATTGATAACCCCTTCTTTGCCGAGCAAGGCCCTGATTCATATCGCGGGGGCTTGTCAATCAGGGGTCACCATTACTGCAGTTGTTGTCTCCAAACGGGGGGAGCCCCCCCCTTTCTAAAACATGGGTTTCCTTTTTTTGGGGTTCCAGAACCCAAGAAGCTGCGGTCCCCAGTCTCGAAACCGAAACATGCCAGTCCGGAGCGAGTCCGGGGACCCGGTCGCTCGTAGTTCTTGCGTGAGATCTCCGTGGTGGCGGTTGCCCAGTAGGACCCGGCTGTGTGGTGCCTTGACCACACGCTTGGGTTTGGACCCCCCCAAACAAAAGGTGGAGTTGGGCGACCACAAACATGGTTCTGGTGAAATACATCACCTGCAAAAAGGTTGGTTTATGTTGAAAACCAACCCATACAACTCGGCAGAACTTACGTGTCGCAACCTCAAGGAGGCTGCTCAAGATGCAACAAAAAGGCAAACTCTAGCACACCATCTGGAATGACCAGCTCACTAAGCCGGAAAATGGCGTCCTTTTGTGAAACAAGGATGGCTGATTCAGTTGTCCAAAAGATCTAGGGAGCATGACTCCACATAGGTCGGGTCTCGACTCCCTGGACATCCTGAGCGGCGTTTTCGGGTGGCAATGGTACAGCTTCCCGCAAGTTGATGGTTTCTGATTGGTGGTTTGGAGGTGCTCTGGGGTATTTGCGCCCATTTACCCTCAACAAGAACCAGGGTTCAACTCCCCAAACCACAACTCCAAACCACCAACTAAGGGATATCTGATAAGAATCGGCGCATTGATCCCATCGCTGTTGAACAAAGCTGGCGCTACTTGGACCTCGCCCAGCGAGACTTATCAGGGCACAAGGGTAGAACAAAACGCATCTTGCCAACCGGTTTGTATGGGGTTGCAAGAACTGACCGTGTCATTGCATCCCACTAAAAATGAACAGAACCAAAACAAATCGAAAACCCTAAAGAGATGTCAACAACAATGAAGGAATTACAGGGGATTCTTTTTTCACTCTTGAAGTTTGGCCATGGCTGAAGTGCTGGGAATGGTCGACTCGAAGCAGGCCGTAATGGACATCCCTCGGGTTCCTGGTGTTTTCTTTCATGTGAGTTCCAGCCGCGCAGTTTCGTAACGGACATGGTAAACACAGCGAGTCTCTGCCTTTTGCCGGAGATTTAGGAAGCCCCCGCAATGAGAAAAGGATACTGCACGTCGACCGCGCGGCGACACTGCAAGCCAACTTATTTGCCACTCTTGAAGGACTTTCCTGGAAACCGCCTGGGTTGGTGTGGGGGCTGCTTTGCCAAGTGATGCGAAGTGCCTTGCAAAAATGGAGGGGCACCCCGCATTTTAAGCAGCGATTAATCAATCCAGGAACCTAGGGTCCAACAACATCTGGGGGTGACCTAATCTAGGCTTGTCAAACCTGGCTTTTGACCCTAAAAAAATGGGTATTGGGAGCAGGGGGCCAGAAGCTCCCACACGTCCACCCACTCAGGCGCTCGCATTTCGCTGCGCTTCGGCGTGCGTGGAGATGTTTCTGTCCTGGCAAGCCGTGCCACTCATTTCCTGTCCCTTTCCGAGTGTCTAAGATGGCTTCCACTACTCCAGAATCACTGTATCTTCCTGGCGCGGAATCCCTCTTGACGGGCTTGGGGGCGACGTCACCCAGTCTGAGAAGCAAAGCAAGATCGCGGCTGTAGTGGCTGGCCCGGTCTTGCGGGAGCCTCAAGCTTTGGGCTGTCACGGCTGGCTTCGGGCTGTCGCAGCTGTCCTGGCCCAGCCACTGGCGGGAGCCCCAATCTGTCACAGATGTCTGTGACAGGCTACGAGTATGTTACATCTCTGTCAGTCAGATCTGTATGTCAGTTAGTTTTCGATTGGCTGGAGAGGGTGGCCTCAGCAAAAGCACCAACCCATCAAGAGACGAACCGACCCCGTGGATTTCGGCGCGGGTTTGGCGTCTCTCCTGCCGGTGAGGTCGGTGAACTGGCAGTTGCCCCGGCGGAGGTCCTCGTTGCTGCGGTCACCTGGGAAGCGGAAAGGCCAAAGACCCAGTAGTTCAGTGATCGGTAGAAAAAGAATAGGAGCCCCGAACCGCTGCTTTTGGGATTGGGGATTGTGGACATGGAAAAAATAGTTGTTGGGGGGGGCTGGGCTGGTTTGGAACTGACAATTGGTGATCCGCAAAACAAAATGGGCATCCTCAAAACAAAAGAAAACAACAGAACCTGGGCATGGAAGGTCAGTACAACCCAGACGCCAAGACTCGACTTTCTCCAGATGTGAACCCTTCAAGGATCGGACCAGAGATGCCCCAACAAATCCCTCGTACCCACGAACTTGTGCCGCAAAGACCACAGGAAAGGCCCGGAAGCTGAACGTTTGCATTGGTGTCCAATTTTAGAAAGAAACAAACAGCAAACACAGGCTTTCAAAAGTTAAGGGTGCCCATTGTACACTCACCCAAGCAGCTACTTTCCGCTGAAGGTGGCGTTCTTCACTCGCCCGATCAAAAACGCGGATTGGCTCGCGGCGACTCGGGGACTCGGACCAAGGGCCCCGCGGAAGGCCTTCACTGCCCCGCGGGGGCTCAAAGCCGCAGAGGGCGAGGCGAAGCCGGTGAGCTGACCTCAAGCAACCAAAGGACCAAAGGTGGGGCCCGGGCTCCAAACCCAAACCCAACAGGACCTGACAGAATCCTAAAAATCAGCTCCTTCCCCGGTTTGGGGGTGAGGAACTGGGCTCCCAAGTTATTTCCCTCGCGGTTTGGGGGAAACTGAGCCTCCATAGATTTCCAACCAAACATCGGGCCCACAAGGAAGCTCACTTCAAAACATTGGCAACCAAACGGTGATGTCTAAAACCAACAGGGGAAACACAGGGAGGCCCCCAAACGATGGGAACATGACATTTGAATCCCTGGTTCTTGAGTGGGAACCAAGCCACCGAGAGGGAAGCTGGCAAGCCCTCCCTCCAGTCTGGAAAACCTGAGGTCCCCCATTTTCCAGTCGTTTCCATTTCATTTGCCCACCAAGGGAAACTCACAAAACATTCCTGGTTTGCCCTTGGTTTCCTTCAAACATGGCTTCCAGGTGCTATTCATCCAAGAAATATGGGACGCCCTGACAAAAGAACCTAAGGAACAACGCTCAGGCCTGAAGGGATCACTGGCTGGTTTTCCAACCTCCCGCCTCAATGATGAACATGGAATCAAAACGCCCACCTTCTGGAGGACTCCTTGCAGGATTGGGAGAAAGCATCATCCCCCTTTACATCATTTCCCATGTGCCCACCAAGAGAAACCATGGGAACTTTTTGAACGGACCTCTGTGATGGATGTCGGCCTCAGTGACGTGTTTCCTCCTGAATCATCACGCCAATCAGCCGAACTTGGTCCAAACAGTGATGTTTTAACTGGCTTTGAAGGGAAACATTGTGTGGAAGGGCCATCCACTTCGCTCCACTTGGTGGGTGGTTTACACTTGGTAGGTGGTTTACCCCTGTGTTGATAAGGCTTTATCCACAATGGAAATACCGGATTGTTACCCATCCTGCGAACAAGGGGTGTGTCTCTGTTGGTTTTTATTTGCAAAAGTGGATCCCACTAAAATAGAGACCCCCCATTGTTCAAAAATAAGTCTATTGATTTGGGGTTCCTATGACCCACTAGGCGCGGACTTCGTAGCCAGGCCTTTCCGACGAATTGGGACCCCTGACTTTCCGAGGTGGCCAGATCGTTGGCCTTCAGGTCGCGCGCGCTGAGCGGCAGCCTGGCGGGATGGTGGGTGGATTGAATCAGCTTGCGCTTAGTTGGTGGCTTGGATTGGATTGGTGTGGATGGAGGTTGTTTGATATAAATGGCGATGGCCATATATACACATATAAAATTACATATTCACATTGGGATTAGCAGCACAAAGTCACCATCAGAAGGAACTTCATTTAAAACACTGCCTCTCCAATGACGTTTACATCACCCGAACGGGAAACGAGAGACATGAGACCTGCCTTCCGGAAAAAGGTAAGAGCAGGTCCAATGAATCTGCGTTTCGAGTCAACATGTTTGGTGCCAAAGAATAGAGACCCAACATGTAGTTGAAGGTTGGGAGCATTTTGTAGTGACCTACAGTCTATCTTGCAAAATGTGCCTTTTAACCATGTCCTTTTCGGTTAAAACAACAATGGCAGTTCTCTGCCAAGGCCTTGCTACATGCTTACACACCCGGTGTGTAGAACCTCTCTTTGGCTTCTGTTGAGCCGGGCCCTGACTCAAAGGGGAGCGTTCTGTTTGCCGTGGTCCAAACCTGAGTGAACGGACAGGGACTGGAAACCTGCACCCCCCGCATCCCTATTGAATCTGTGGATGGACGAACTCCTGCAGTTGGGATGGAAGCCCCAACTGAATTTGGGACAAGCCACCTAGAATCTAGAAAACTGTAGAATTCTGTCCATCCACAGTAGGATGGGTCCTACTTAGATTCAGCTCAGTTGCCCAAAAAGGGCCCAGAAAAAAAGGACACCCTTTGGGACCTTTTCTACTGATGGGCCAAAAGGGGAAATCAACAGGTGAGATCTGGGCGATTCGCTTTGGTTGCAAGTGAGTCAAGTTCATTGCACGCCTGGTCTCGTGCACCGCGTAGTTCCGGGGAGAGTGGGCGCGCGGGCTCAAGCTCCCCACGCTTGCGGACGGGGACTGCCTCAGATTGCCCCTTTCTTTCGCCTCTAAGTGTCCACGTTGGACGGAGAACAGGATTCTCCCTAGTTCGAACCTAACAACATCATAAATCTAAAGGTTACTGAGGATCCTTTCCAGTTGTATGACCATCCACTGTTGACTCTTGTAAATAAAGGAACCGGTCTTTTGACCATGGGCCAAGCAAGGTGGTGGTACAACGAAAAGGAAGACAGGCCGAATGAGTTTCCCCATTTCCACCGAAATGTCTGACGTTCAAATCGCGCAATGTGAGAAATGGGTACTAAAAACAGACACGCCCAAAGAACGCGACGATTTCTGGGAGTTGCCAAGTTGCGAGCTCTTCGGAGTTCCGCCCAGCACTTGAGACTTCAAATCCGACTGCTTCCGGGCCTCCGGGGCAGCCGGGCCGACAGATTTCCCTAGGAAGCCTTCAAGTTGGACTCAACATGGATCTCTTCTTGGTTGAAAATAGGCACTGATCTGACCTAAAAAGGCCACCTGTGCTCAGACTGGAAACTCACTCCCTGAGTGGGTTGGCAAAAAACACACACACATAACCAAAACCTTGGGTGAGTGAGGAAATGAGACTTGGACCCACAAATAAAGGACGATGTGGAGCTCGTTTTGCAAGAGCTCGCCATAAGAATTGCAGAAACATTCATGGGTGTTTCAGGGCTCGGCTGTTTGAGTGGGACATATTTCCCACACGTGGGTTTATGGCGTGCGGATTGGGCTGGGAAACTTCTCCTTTCATACAACAACAATTCGAGATGGCCTCAGGGCGGTTGGACATTGTTCGCGTGTCATAATTATCCCGGAAATTGCTGGTCCCTTTTTGGCTTCCCTTTCACTGCCTCTCACCAACCCAAAGCGAGTGCGCTGGACATTGACATACAATTAGACTGCTATTGTTGAACATCCTGTCAGGGCCTGGCAGGTATCATTTTTGCAACAGCCGGATGGTTCACGGACGATCCCTGAGTAAGAGACCTTCATGAAGAAGTGCAAAAGCCATGCAGGTTGAAGTGCAAAAGCCATGCAGGTTGCTGCCGCAACGGTATTTCAGGCTGATATTTGTTGATTCCGCCCACATCAAGAATTAAAAGGCACTTCAAAATGAGCCTGACAAGGGCAAATGCCCTTGACCTTTGTTTGGGTTCATTTCACATGAGAACCACCTTGAAAGCAACTATTCAACCAACTGAAAGCTGCGAAGCTGTGGGGTCTCTGCCCAAATAGGCGCCAGAGTGGTTTGGACCAGCTCTGGGGCTAGGGTTCTGGTAGGGTTCTGGAAGGGTTCCGCTTGTTGGGAAGGAACATCGACCCAGGGTGCTTGAACGGCCTTTCACAATTTTCCAGCGACAGTATAACATGCTTATCTCGAGCCAGTGCATCAGCCTCGGCACAAATGAATCTCAAAGCAGGCGGGTCAGAATCAAAACCTGGCATTTACCCAAACCCCCAAAGAATGTGTTTGATCTTGAAGGGGGGACCCACCCTCTAAAAAAAAGAGAGTTGTTTACCTTCCATTTGCATAAGCGCCCTGGAAAAAATCGAAATATTTCCAGTAGTGATAGATTCCCTTTAAAACCACAAGAACATAACACATATTCATGTCATTTGAGCAAGTGGAAGTCAACAAGGGCCAAAGCAACCCGCAGGTCCGGTTTTTCCTGGGCTGCCCGGACTGAAGAGCTCAAATTGCTCCAGGAGTCCTTGGCGTCCTGAAAGAGCCCGTCGGGGTCCATCGCTCGAAGTCTCTCCGTCGAGCTGGTTCGGAAGAAAGGCTCGGGGCTTCGCGGGTTCCGTTTTGTTGGCTTTGGTAGAGGGAGAGGAAAGGAACGGAAAGGACCGGAGAAGAGAAAGGAGAAGGAACTGTGTAAAATCACGCACCGATTGCAAGCCACGTGCATGTTAAGACTCAGCGGCCAGCAATTCCCAGAGAGCAAGGCACGGGTGTGGCCGCACCTCCAGTAGCGCTTGTTGAAACAAGACATCAAGGAATTGGTAGATTAGTAGCAGTACTGTGGATGGACCAAATCCACAAAGCGCACCAGTTGATAGGTGGTTCATCCTGTGATTTATAGGGTTTTATCCTTATCCTAGCTGATGCGAAATGGATTTTTTCCATCCACGGTATGGTGCCATCCCGACTGACAAGTCGGTCTCGGGAAACTCCATTCACATCGCAGACCTGGAGTTGAACAAGTGATCCTCGGGCCATAGACCACCTACGAAACATGGGTTGCTGATTCGATTCCCCACCGTAACTATCATCAAGCTCAGTGGACTGGCCCAAAAGAGTCGCCACTGAAATGGTCCCAAAAAACTTAATGTCCATGAGACCCTGGTTTCATTTCGGAGTGCGAGAAGCAGATTTCGCAACCACCCACAGAATGGTCCAGTCTCGAAGCAACAGGTCAGATCAGGTCTGGAGGTTGCAAATGAGAAAAGTGCATCAAAATGGGGGACCCCAGAAATGACTGGTTTCCTTCTTGGTTGCCCTTTGAATCAACCCCAAAAAGGGGTATCCTTGCCAAAAGGCGCACCATGGGACTCACGTTAAACAGGGGCCGCTCCACAAAGGGATGCTTCAATCACCAAACGATGAGATGTTGAATGGTCACTGGATTGCCCAAAATCAAAGGATGCAATTTACTAGCAGTCTCCAAATGGGTCCAATAAGGTAACATCCTCAAAAGTAAAAAGACATCTATAGAGTCCTTCTAAAGTTAGAAGTCTTCAGAAGGGAAAGGTGTTACTTTCGAAATGATGGTAGGAAAATACAGCCGGAACCCAAGGCAGGCCGGAAGACCAGTCCTCCAGGCACCCCTGCCTTTCCGGCTGAATATATGTGTGTGTGTGTTTGTGCTTGGTGGTTTGTCAACCATTGTTGCCAGGGTTTCCTCTACCCCAAGTGGTGCCGATCCCTTCGCGTGGATGTCGTCCATCCGTATTTCCACACCACGGTCCCGCTGGCGGATCAGCTCGCCGCGGGTGTCCAGGGAGCTCATGTTGGTGCCTTACGGTTTTGGGGGGCCCGGTGCGTAAGGCGCTGCTCCAAACCCCGAGAAGGGCGATCAACTCTCTACGTTAGTATGGTAGCAAACACTTTGTCTGTTGCAGACCCATACTATACATAAAACAAACAAAATTCCAAAAACCTCAAACAAACATGCCAACAACAGTGAAGCAAACGAGTGTGGCCCTACATCCCTGCAGTTGGGGGGAACCCTGAAAACTGGCCTGAAAAAAACAACTGGCACCTGGCCAGTGGATTTCATCGCCAGCCACAAAAGTGATCCGAATTCCCACTGTAAAACATCCGACGAAGACGTTCTGCCCACTCCCCCCTTGGGGCTTTGTCTTGTCAAAATGAAGCCCCGAGCAAATATGTGCTTTGAACAACCTGACACAGCTGAGAATACAAAGCAAACACTGAAATACCACGTCGCACCTGGCTTGCAGCCCACTTTCAACATGGGCCAGAACCAAGAGGCTGAAAACATCAACTGTAGGGGCACTGCGATATGGAAGCAAAATAATCCTCCTGAAGATTCGTTCTGCATGAATTACCTGGTAGTTCTCGTCTTTGACTTACTTTTCCTACATGTCAATGTCTTTGTTCTTCTTCTTTTTTTCGTGAAGTCGTCTAAACCTACAAAAACTCTGATATTTTGTTTGCTTTGGCACATGAGATTTCAGTTGGCCCCTTTTTACGTTCTCCCCGGCCAGAATTACCCGCAGAATGCCCGCACCAAGCAAATCAGGGGGAAAAAAAAAAAACAAAAAACACGGGGGTCGCCCAAAACTCCTAGAGATCACTTAGAACGCCAAACACACCCAAAACTACTACAAAAACCAAACCGCCTAGGACAAGGCCGGATAATGAACCTCCAGGCAAACGCACACAATCAACATACACATGAAAAACAACCTGCCAACGGTTTGTTGCGGCCCGCCCCACAAACCAAAGAAGCAACATCGGAGAACACAACAGCTGCCAAACATGGAAAACGACACAACCCCGGAAAACCTTATATATAAAAATACACCAACAAGCAAGCAACCAAACCTGCCAACAACCAAAACACGCACACACACACACACACACACACTGCCAGATATGGGAAACAACACAACTACGGGTAACACCACAGTCATAGAAACAACAAATCAACAAGCAAAAACACCAGCCAGCACGAAACAACTAAACACAAGCAACAACGTGTACCACTCCTCCCACTAACATCGCATTTGTGGGGGGATACCTGCAAGATCAATTGCCTCTTCAAAGGACCCTCTGATGCCATGGCAATGCGGGAGGAAAAGAAAAACACGAGCAACAAGAAAAAACAAAACCTGCCAACAACCAAAACACGCACACACACACACACACTGCCAGATATGGGAAACAACACAACTACGGGTAACACCACAGTCATAGAAACAACAAATCAACAAGCAAAAACACCAGCCAGCACGAAACAACTAAACACAAGCAACAACGTGTACCCCTCCTCCCACTAACATCGCATTTGTGGGGGGATACCTGCAAGATCAATTGCCTCTTCAAAGGACCCTCTGATGCCATGGCAATGCGGGAGGAAAAGAAAAACACGAGCAACAAGAAAAAACAAAACCTGCCAACCGATTCTCCGGTACTCTGCGTCCAGTACTCGCTGGAGGTCTTCAGGTCCACTCCTCGGGCCGGACACGAAGGGCGCCGGTTGGCACGCCGCAGTTGCCAGCCAAAGGTACGGTGGATGGACGATCCTGCACCACCTAAGAAACCCCGAAATGATCATTCCCCTGAAAATACCAAGAAACAATAGTTTCCAATAGTTTCAAACAGTGGTGAAGGATTGCATGGAAGCTTGCAGGAAGGGGTAATGTATGAGTGGCTTGTCTTTCTTGGAGCTGGTTCCCTTTTTTGGTTGGGTTGTAAAGGGAACCAACAGGAAACCAAGCATTTGTTTGGGTCCCTTGAAAAAAGACATTCTCATTCATCTCTGCTTGTGTACTTGGAGGTCTGGGTGCAAACGACATGTGTACAGAATGGGTGGGTATATATGCGAAAACTTTAGGAGCTCGCCCTTGAATGCCAAGTGGTTAGATAGCATTTCACCTGCACTTCACTACGTGGTGACCCCTAGTTATGACAAGCATGGGTTTCTATTATTCCCCAGATAGCTGAAAGCTATAGGGGTTCTAACTTCTAATAAAGAGGGGGAAGTGATTTGCGAGATTGATGGGCTGGTGCTAAGAGGCGTGCAGTTTGGGGTGCTGGATTTTGCGGATTGGGGTGCTGTTTGAGGTGCTGATAGCAGTGCGGGCGCATCTTTTCAAGATTGACGGTAGGGTGCTAGGAGGCATGCAGTTTGGGTGCTGGTGCAGGTGCTGTTTTGGGGGTGACGGTGCCATCTTGACGGTAGGGTGCACGGCGGCATGCAGTTTGGGGTGCTGGTGCTGGTGGTGTTTTGGGATGCTGTTTGGGGAGCTGTTTGGGGAGCTGTTTGAGGTGCTGGTGACGGTGCGGGCGCAATTTGCGATATTGACGCCCGGGTGCTATCGGGCATGCAGGTGACGGTGCAGGCACATTTTTGCATCTTGACGGTAGGGTGCAAGGGGCCATGCAGCTTGGGGTTCTGCAGGTGGCGTTTTGGGATGCTGTTTGGGGGGTGCTAGTGATGGCGCGGGTGCTCGATTGACGGCCGGGTGCTGTTTGGGACGCTCTTCGGGGGGTGCTGTTGGAGGTGCTGGTGTGCAATCATTGCTATCTGGGGTCTATGCTGGTGTAATTTATTTTTTCAAAGATCATTTATATGCGTCAAAAAGGCGTGGCCAAAAGGGTACCCTCCAAAAAACACAGACCCACATGTGGGTCAAAACCCAAATGCCTTGTTCGGTAACCTGCTCTTGGTCCATGTTAAAAGGCAAAAACCGTGCAAAAGCATCCGAGCAGCGGTTGGCCGTCACATTCGACGCCTCCTGCGAAGCTTGCGAGCCGAGTCCAGTGACTCGTTCGAAGGGAACTCGTGGGGCCCATTTTTGCATGGGGATCTTAAGCAACAGGAAAAAGCGGTTGATGGTTGACCATTTTCGGGGTTCACCTGTTTCGATGCGGAGCCTGCCAAACAAAAAAACCAAAGGACGCCTTGACAGCACATTCCTGGGGTCGCTTGCTTGTTTCACGGGAAACCGGCAGATTTCTTATTCCCCAGATAGCTGAAAGCTATAGGGGTTCTAACTTCCAATAAGGAGGGGAGAATGATTTGCGAGATTGACGGTAGGGTGCTAGGGGGCATGCAGTTTGGGGTGCTGGTGCAGGTGGTCTGTTTGGGGTGCTGTTTGATTTTCGCGAGATTGACGGCTGGGTCTGGCTGCTTGGGGGTGCTGTTTGGGGTGCTTGAGCGCTCTGGTTGGAGGTGCTGGTGTGCAGTCATTGCTATCTCGGGTCTATGCTGGTGTAATGCCTGATTTTAAATTGAGAATGCAACAAAATCAAAAGGCACCACTGGAGGCTCCCTAATCCCGATGCGCAATCCATGCGACACCCCTACAATGAAAACCGCTCCTATACTGCACAGGGATTAAGGACTGGTTTTGAACAACCCAAAACGCAAGGACAACTTGGGACCCCTGTCCTGTCAACACGCTTGAATTTCCAAAAAAACGGGCCCCGCGATTCACCGCAGTACGCTGTTGATTGGGGCACTCGACGTGGGGCACTTGGCGAGTCTCTGGTTATGGGAACGGACAAAATACATGTTAAACTAGGGGTTTCCGTATGCCCTTTTCTTGCGATATTTAGGGCATCCATCGTATCATCTTGAAAATGACCCGGTCAGGGTGCTTCGAGTTGTTCTTGGAATAGCCTGGAGGACCCTACTCCGGTCCCTCTTAGAAAGATCGTAGCCCATTTTGGGAGTTTCTCTGACCAAGCTTCTCCGGGTTAATCCTAACATAATCGGGTTGACTGACCGCTTCTTCAGCCTTGGGACCCTGCACCTCACCCCTAATTCACCCATGCGCCAAAACCGAAAACCATCGGCTACGTGCAGGGGCTGCAGATGTCTCTTGGGGCGTGTTCCCCTTTAGGCTACTTTGTTGGAAACATGTATGGCCAGACTGGTCCCAAAACAGGGTCGAAGGCCTTCCTTGGTAATGTGATTGGTGATTTGAGCAATCGGCAATTTTGAAACCAAGAGGAGAGGCCCTCCCTAACCCAGGCACCAATCGAAGCCAATCGGGTAAGCCCTGGGGCTTCGAGGCCCCGACGTCGTCCAGGAAGAACTGCACGGAAGCGTTCTTCTTGGGAGACCCGGCTCCCTTCTTCCTCGGGGAAAACAGACGGGACCTTGGATTTCCTGTTATCTGGGGCCAGTGTCTGGGCTCTGCTTCGGTCCACACACACGCTGGACGTGTCTATGCTCAGCTTTTGTAAGGTGACTTTCTCATTCGATGGGGTTCCTCCTTCTAGGAAACCAGAGAACAGCTGAGGAGAGCGGCTGCTTTTCTTTTTTCCAATTCCGATGGTCGAAGAGAATCACTGTTGGGCAAAATTCAATTGAGTTCCCTCCTCCGTAAGTATCACAGTCAAGCCACCTTGAGCCATGGTGGTTGTTCATACCATGGTTTTCTACACTCATTTGGGTTTGGGGATATGCCTTTCTGCGATACTAGAGTGGTTGATTCTTATATCCATGACTATAAAGAGAAGATCCGCTTGGTCACCCATAGCAAGTTCATACAACGGTTTCTATGCATTGGGGTCTGTGTGTTTTACAGGCTTCATTTTCAGGTTGCTTCAACGAGCAGCCAAGGGTTGCTTCGGCCGCCCGTTGTCGGGGGCCCCGTATTTCGGACACATCCCCATTTTCACTTGTCCAGTCAGGGACCCAGACCAAAAAAGACGGTTAACCTATTGGAACCTTGACTGTCAAATCAACAGGTCGATTCGTTTTGGTTGCAAGTGAGCATTTGAGTTTGGGGTCACTTGCAGTGACCAAGGCGCGGAGAGCCGTCAGTGACTTGCACCGACCCGCTGCCTCAGCTGATTGCAAGGGATCCAATAGCAAGCACATGCTGAGTAAGCCATAGCAACAAATGGGTGTCTCTCTGTTTGTGGGTACTGGGTCACCCCCCAAATCTATGCAAACAGTTAAGTTTTGCTTCACGCGAATCCAACGCCAACCACTTGAAACCTGAACAACCTGTTTCGGAAGCCATGAAGCCGAAAAAGGTGGCTGCCAATGACTCACAGAGTTCAGTAGGGGTTGAGGACCGCTGCGGGCCATAACCGTCCCACGACCCCCACTCAGTCAGGTGCATCCTACACGTTGCCGTGGCTTCGCTTGGATCAGGGTGAGTTAGTGGAGGAGGTGGAGGGCACAATGCCCTTTCTGTCAATGGCGTTGATACCCTCCTCTAGTCTCCTCTACCAGGAACCCGCCAGAGATTCCCCCTTTGAAGGAAAATCGTCAAGGACCCTCCAGTGACCCAGGCTCGTGGACCGGAGTGTATACTAAATGGGGGACTTCTGCCCGTGACTATTACCCAGTAGGAAACTGTTACCTTTCAAGGCTAATCGAGCAGAAGGCATGGGGTGAGATCCTGCGATTCACCAACAGGCACAAGAAAGCCGTAACTGTTCCCACCGTGAAAGGGACCTTAGGTACGGTCACAGACGACGCTAAGCGTCGGGACAATTTGCCAAATCTCTCGCAAAGTCTGTGAAAGCGTCCGACCAGCCTAGTACATGGTAGTTTTTGAGGATCTCAGATTGCCTCTACTTGGTGGTTTGGATTGGTGGTTGGAGGTCAGGGATGGTTTAAGACGATCAGACCGCATGGAAACCAAGCGTTTTGTTGGCTCTCCTTTGAGACAAACCTATATGATTTCGCATGGTTAAGGTTGACTAAACAAAAAAAAACGCCGCAAATGAACATGTTGCTTTGGCGTAACCTGTGTGGCAAGCAAACTCCTGGCTCCCTTCAAACAATCCCAAGGCTACCCGAATCGCCTCAAAAAACGATGCGTCTCTTGGGTGACCCCGTCCGCTCCCTGAGCAGTTCTGAGGCAGGGACCCTGGAGCATGGTTGCCTGAAACAGCCAAACATATGCCAAACATGGTACCCTTCCACCGAACATGGAACCTGACGTTCGGGTCCTGGAAGACCATTTTACTTTTAAATCCCTGCTATGTTCCGGTAAGCTTCCTCAAGCAGGGTGATGTCTTTTTAATCGAACAATATGGAATGCTGTCTACAAGGGACATGTTGAAAATGGTTGGATAAACACAACATAACACAACCTCTGTACACGCGCTGAGGCTGCTGGTTTATGCGTAGAGGAAACTCTCATAAAAATCAGGGTGCTTCGACATACCCAACGCCTGCGCTTCATGCTTGATCCAAAGGGGACCTGACAAAGGCACACATGTCACATATCCAACCTGGCAAGTAGCATTTGGTGAGAGCCGTGCATCAGACCTTCGTCCGCATCTCGACAATGCAACCTCTCAACTCTGCACACCTGGAGCGTTTGCTGACCTCCAGGTAGCCACAATCTGGGACAACCTGAGTGAAGGCCAGTCTAATGCTAGCAGAAGGACAGGCCACTGCATGGCCAAGCGACGTCTGGCCCAAGGAGCCTGACACTGACATGAGACCCATGTGCTTTTGCTAACCCGGCATGCTACTGCAAAAACCAGCCTTGAACCTGGATATCGCATACACATCCTTGTGCTTCGCACGGTTCTCCAATGCCATGTTCTTCCACTGAGCAATTGGCAAACATGCAGCTCTTCCTCAAATGAGGGTTTCCGTAAAACACTGAGAAAAAAAGCGGCGATCCCTCCGCTTCCGCCGCTTCCGCGGCGCAAAGCGTACCTTCTGCAGCATCCATAGCTGCGAATGCTCTTCATCTGCTCTGGTCAGCTGTGAAATTGCGATTGGTTATTCAGCAGATCCAGACCAAGGCATCTTTTTAGAAGATCTCGAGAACATTCTGGGACAGGCTCTTGGTTCCAGTTTGCGGGCTATGCCAGCGATATGGGCATCGTTTGGGCATCGTTCGGGGCATCGTTCAAACCAAACCGTTTTCTTGTCCAGGATGGTCAGTTTGATTTGATTTGCACAGCAGCTAATGAGTTGGGTGTCGGTTGGGCATCGGTTTGGGTATCGGTTTGGGCCCTGCTAATGTCTGATTCCGCAATGAACAGCTTGGACCTGATGTGTGTCTTGATGGCTTCTGGGGATATCGTTTTTCCCCCTCTTTATCGGTTTGCAATGGTTTGGGCCTGCAAAACAAGTTAAGGGACCTCCCCTTGCATAACGAAAAGGCGCGGGGTTTTTATTTCAGTGCGCGTCGGGCACTTTCCGAGCTCCGGCTCGACAATCGTAAATTTTAGTACAAATGTAGTATGCGAAGGCCACTTTTTCAGCTCCAGCTCGTTGATCTGGAACTTTTCATACACAGATGTAGTACGCGAGGTGCACTTTCCGAGATCCAGCTTGAGAATCGTAACTTTTCGGTACAAGCGTGTAACATGTTTAAAGGCAAGCCAATAGTTTGAAAGAAGTCGCAGCTTCCGCGCCGCTTCCGCGGAGCTTCCGCGGCCTGCGTTTCACTTACTTACCAACATAACCACCGCCACTAGCCACTAAAAAACGAATACAGCGATTTACGGAAAGCCTCAAATGAGCATTTGACAATTGATGAGAAGGCTTGGTTTCTAGTCGGAGCTTGGACAGCTAGGATAGCAGCCTCACATCTTCCCGACATGAGGTCTGCCGAGGGTGGGAAGCGGCTCATTCCTAAACCGCATCTGCAAAAGGGGTGTTTTAGATTCTAGTCCATATTTCTAGTGATTGATTCCGAACTCTTGTCAGTCATGGTTGAAACACCTGCTGCCTCCCCGGGTTTTTAGTGGTTTGTGGAAAAACAGATGGCTGGGTTCAGAAGCTCACTGCAGTTCGGCTTAAAAAGGTGTCCCCTCAAAAGCATCTAACGGGACCCCCAATTTTGATTGAAACACCCCCTTATTGCTGAGTGTGTAGCCCGCCAAGGACAAGGAAACCAACAGGCTTCAAGAAGGGGCCAGAACGCGCTTACCTGGGTTTTCTTGAGCAACTCCCATGGTGTTTCCCTTGCTCTTCTTTTGATTCTTCCTGGGTTGTCCATTTCGGTTTACCCTTGGTTTCTTCAGTCGGATGCGCCTTGCAGTCGCGGGGGCTGGGCAAGGAGGCGAGGGGCTTTTGAACAGCCGCCCGTGCCTGGCGCGAATTCGTTCTTGCCCGAGCCTCGCACGCCTCGTGTTGCTTGCTTGGGTTTGCTTTACAAATAAAGTAAAGGGTCTTGAACGTTGGGGGGTCTTTTGGCGAGTGGCTTTTGGGGTGCTTCGAAAAAAAGACTTCCTTCTCTGGATGGGAATCTGCCCCCAAGAAATCCAAAAGGAAACTGAAACATAACTTTCAGGGGTCCCTGATTTTGAGAAGCCCTCTCTGGATGTCTTGTTCACGAAGGGGAAGCAAACCAATTCCTTTGCCAGGCTGGGAAAGCCGGTTTGCCCCAGGAACCAAACGGACGCAGCAACAGCATGCTCAGGTTGATCTTTGGATGAAGTGTTTGAAGGAGATAAGCAAGAGCAAGCAGTTGCTGTTTGCAGTTGTATTGTCCCGAGCGAAACCAGAAGTCAGCTTCCCTCCTATTCTGCTTAGTGTTTCGGACGCGGTGGTTTCCACGAAAGCCAGGGGTTGCAATCCCCAAATCACCAACCCAAGTGGTTGAAAATGGCTCAATCCCAACAAGTCTAACGTCCGGAACCCTGGAAGTGAGTCTCCCCCATGTCAAACCAGGTCTTCGGAGAATCGAAGGCGCAGGCCTTCGTGTTGTCCGCGCTCACCTGGAGCTGCCTGGCCGGGTCCTGGAACACCGAAACGAGAGGAGCAACCAGTGGATGTCGTTCCATGGGACAAGGGGATGGTAACTGAACAAAGCTTAAAAAGGGAGTTCAACAAAAACATCAATAAACAAGTTGAGAAAGGGTATGACTTTCAAAGGGAATCTTGAATCTCTTGTTGTTGTGCGGCAGCTGATTTTAAACAAGTTGACCCCCCTCCAAAGAAGACCAGGGGAGGTCTGGGCACATGGCTGTCTCGCCAACTGGGCAACAGAACAAACAAACATGTGTGCGATTGAGCTGGATTAGCCCAAAAGAACATCTGGACTTTTTGTTTGCCACTGAAATGGTCCAACCCCAAAATGTTGTAAGTCCGAAACGGAACTTGGGAAGGGCCCTGAGGGCCGATTCTTTTCAAACAACTCCCATTTTTGAATGGGACAGAACAAGGCCCAAAACCGATCTTCTCCGGCGTCAAGATGGCCATGTGTCAAACTCAAATGAGTGGTTTCTCCTTGGTTTCCTCTTACCCCCCAAAGCTTCCCCCGCTGCTCGGTGTTTTGGAGTCTTGGTTCCGGGGGTGGTCGGCCGAGCAGCGCTGGGGTTCATGTGGTCGGCCGTCATGGCCCCGTTGACTGCGCCGCGGAAGGATGAGGCATAGAAGGCCTCACAGGGCACTAGACGAAACCCAAAAAACAAGAATTTCCATGTGCCCTCGGGTGGCTTGGAAGGGACACCAAGAGGAAAACGTTGGGGTCAAATTCCTAAAAACGGACTCCTTTCCAACCGTGGGTATGGTAGCTCACACTGACTCTTTTTGCAGCCCCCTACCCAAAAGAACCAACAAGCAACACCTAACGGCATGCCAACACCAGTGAAGATAACCCCCTACCACTGCCACGAAATGGATTATGTTCCATCAAAGGGAAAATTCTGGGGGTTGAACCCTCCAAAAAGAGTTCGTAGAACCGTCTTAGGCTTGGCGCCAATGAACATGCCAATTCCGTGTCACCAATCAAAACCGCACTTCCACCAATAGAAATCAAATGGCCCAGGCCGACCTGAGGGAACATTTGGGCGTGCCTCCAAATGGGGCACTCTTTGTTGGATAGCCTTAAAGGGATACCAATGGATAAAAACACAATTGTTGGGGTCGCCCACAAAAGGACGCACGCATGTTTCTTGTGGCTTCTCGAATTAAGTGAACAGAATGGGCGAACGACCTGAGCTGGAGATCAATATTTCGTCTCAAAACTCAGGGATTCAAAGGGTTTGCCATGTTTGTTGGGAAAGTTTCTGGTGGGAAGCCAAGAGGAAGTTGTGGTGCCCCGCTTGAGGCCAACTGCCAGTCAACATAGGGCCTCAAAATGCGGCAAGCCTTTGACGTCCTTTCTCACCCCAAAGGTTCAAAGGTGAAACGTCGAGACACGGGCAAGGCGTGAAGGCTACCTGGGTCTGTCGTTTCCCAAGAAGCCGCGCTCCAGGCTCACAACATTGAGATGCATCCATTGGTTCCCAAACAAAGTGTGGGCCTTTGTGAAACGCAAGCTGCGCCCACCCCACCTCTGCGGGGCAAGATCTCAAATCTGACACATGTAGCTGGAGCATGGATTGCGCTTTAATTTCATAAGATACATGTGGAGATGCTGTCAGTAGGCGTCCAACTTTGCGGTTTTGCCGCGGGTGGACTTCCCTACAAGCAGCCAAAATTGCACTCCTGTTTAGGGACCCCTTTTTGGGCAAGCCAAGTTGATCTGTCGGGGCCAAACGGTCAACAGGCGCCGGAGCTCCACAAATGCGCCGCCTGCTGGCGCTGCCGAGGCGTCACGGGCTCGGACTTGGGGCTCGGGGCGCTCTTTGGGCTCTGCCCGGACTTGGGGCTCTGCACCTCGCTGCACAGAGAACGGCTTCTTTGTCGCTCGGTCTGCTGAGGTTTCTCGAGGTTTTTTTGGGGGGTTTTCTGTGGTTTGTTGAGGTTTTTTCCTGAGGGTCTCTGGTACCATGATCATGTAGGTCAAAGGGGAATCTCTTTATTTGCTGACTTTGAGGACTGAGGTTTCCAGACGTTTCCTAACACTGCTCTGGTCCCATTTTTGTCCTAGATCAAAATCACCCCTGTTCAGTGGGAACGCCTCCATTTGCTGACTTTGACAAAGATAAACAACCGTGAAACAAAATGACCCCAGTTTCTGAAGGGGTTTTCTGCGGTGTGAGGCACTTTTACTCCCGGTTCCTTGGGGGTCTCATACCCAAACCGTGAGGAGTGGGTTTGTGGCAATTCTGTGTGCAAACACTTGGGATCCTCCAGATTTCGTGAAAAACTTGGGAAGACTGACTTTATCCCGAACTGATTGGTCGAGGATCTGAGCCTAGGAAAAGCGAACTCCAAGGACGGCTCACATCCGCTTCTTCCATCTGCTCTTTTTGGGTTCGGAATTCCAAACTCAAACACAGTCACACCTCATCCAAACCTCCTTTTCATCTCGGGCAATGGGAACTTGCCTAGTGGGCACCCCGGATTGATAGACCCCTGGTTGATTCTAGGGGGCGGTCCCCTTTTAGCGGGGATTCATGCCTTTGGGAGAGAACACCCCCCAATTGATAGGACAGATTCTACTTAGATCCAGGGTCGACAATACGAAGCTTCATCATCTAAACGGGGCCCTTGCTGTTGCGTTGGCTCAGAGACCAAAGGACCTGGAACTTAATGGTTGACCTTTTGGGATCTTGCTATATATGGTGCAACTGTGCAACATGAGAACGCTGACAGGTCAAACGGTGGGTTTTGGACAGCTGAGCCTATCTGACCACATTATTGTGACATTGTCAAAGTCAGTGGCAGGTTGAAAGGAAACAGCCCCAGTTTCTGGATAACACCTGGAACTCAGTTGATCAAAGGATCCAACAATTCACCTTTTTGGGGAACCCAAAGAATAGAAACCGAAAGGTTGAAAGGTCGGTTTACAACAAACGGACATCCCCTGCCCAAAGTTTAACTTTTAGTGGTTAAATGAAACCTCCCCCACCCACTAAACCCTAAACACCTCAAAACTCAAGGGAACGGTTGGGAACCGCCCAATGAGAGAAACAGGCAAACCAATGATTCCAGTTTAAGGACTCCCGACTTTTGCCGTTCACGGCGCTGTGTGGGGCATCAGCACCTCCGCGGGCCAAGCTGACAGCACCACCATGACGAGGACGAACCGCGCAAAAAAAAAACGACGGGGGAGGGGAGCCGGCTTGACGACCGTGTGAGCCAGGCGCTGCGAGGTCGCCCAAGAAAGAACGGCGCCTAAAGGTGCCAAAGCAGAGTCGTCAACAACTTCGGAAGGAAAATGGAGACCTAAGGCTTCCTTGTCTGGGGGGGGGGTAAGGGGCCCGATCTTGTTTCTGCGTGCCCAATTTGAGGAGAAAAATGCAATAATAGCTTAAAGGCTTACGGGGATGCTCCGAGAAACATATGGCCCTGGACGATCCCTTCAGCAATCATTTGCTCCGCTCAGCATGAGGGGCAAGGGGCTTCCGCATGTTTCCTTGCACGCCTGGGTTGCTGGCTGCTGGTCTTCACGACAACCTCCGGCATGAAGCGCCAACACATTGCTTGACTTGCGGATGGAACGCGCAACGCAATTCTTAAAGTCCATCGCCAAAGCGATAGCACTACTGTGCTGAGTCTCACTTCCTCAGTGGGTTGGAGAAACAAAGTCCAAACTGTTTATTTACGACTGACATGACTTCCCCAAAACGTACAACGTCTATGAACTCAGGGAGTGAGGACTTTTGGTCCAAGACAAAACTGAGAAGAACACCTGGCAATAAACAGCTTCAAGTTTGGAACTTGAACAGGTGAGCTGGAGCTGGGTCCATCAAAAGAGCCTTCTCGAAGCCACCAATGCCAGTGGTGATGAACATGCATGCTTGTTGGAGTTTGCTGACTGAAATAGTCTGCTTGCCACGAATTGAGCTTAGAGGTGTTTCTCCATTTGCCAAGTACAAGAAGCAGGGTTCAAATCCAAATCTAAAACCCCTGTCCAAACCAAACCAACTGATGGTTACCTGACATAGGTCGATGTTCTTTTGATTTGATTTTGAGTGGCTGGCTGGCCAAATTGCCGCCCGAATTGTTCAGTGGCACCACCGTTTTACCTTTTTGCTGGTGTTGCTTCCCCACATTGGTCAAGCACTTGAAGAGGTCCGAAAGCGTCCCACTTCGCCCGCCCACTTCGTATGGGAAAAACCATGCCGCGGCCGGCTTCTCCTCCTCTGGATTGGTCACCCGCCGCCTCTGCAAAACATCGCTTGTGAAAGCTGAACACCGTCTCGATGCCCCAATGATTGGAGGGGATCAGGAGGCATAAGGCCCTTTTATCTAACCGCGAAGCACAGCAAACTTCAGGGTTTTCCTTGCAACCTAGACAAAGCACGTAAAACAGCTGTTTTGTGCGTATCTACCGTACTAAATGCGAAACAATGCTCCAAACAATTCTCTGTGAGTCTTTGGATTCCACCAACTGCACGCTCTCGGCACTCTTGTGGCACGAGCAGGGACCTCGAGGAACCGAGCCGACCCCTCCAGAGCGAGAAGCACCTTTTGAACCGAAAGGGGCCTGTTCAAACAGATGTCAGGCTATCAACAAGGCCTTGGCCCGAGCCTGCACAGGACCACTCTTTTAGAGGAAACTCCTCACGAATCCAGGTGCAGTTCCATACGTGTTGGTGGAGTACCCTGTTTGCAGACTACCATGGAAGCTGCCAGGACCGCTTTGGAACGCGCAAGGGTCAACATTGCGAAGATCGCCTTTCCAATGGGACATCTCCCATATTAGCGATCAAGGGTCTAATAAACTGCGGTGCCATTAAACAAATGAGGACCCCTGCAAGGGTTACTGGATTTTCCTTTCAAGAGTTGATCACTGGACCCGCAGCTTCCAACATACATGCCACTCTTGGAGTACCAAACATGGAATGGCCTTGGTTACTCCGAAGGATATTTGTGGGATATACCTCCTGAGTGGCTTGGAGAAACGTCTAAACTTCTTCGTTGCCACAAACACCGACGCCGTCTAAACCCAAACAACACAAGTGACTCAAGTCAAGGAAGCCAGGAGAGGCTATTGATTGACTCACTTGCCCGAAGGTCGGTTTGTTGACTATGGATTAAACCAAAACCAGAACTACCTTTTCGCTTCCAATTTTCAGGAACCGATAAACCAATGCGCCTTTGCTCTTGTGGGTTCCGCCGCGGCCGGACCAGGATCTTGTGCACGCGCAGCATGCCGCCCGTATCCACCGTCCTCGCGACATATTTTTGCTTCATCGAAAACAACCTGTGGTCTAATAAAAAGACAAACTTGAAACCATTGGGCTTTTCGCGGTGGGTCTTCATGCAACAGAGACTCACTTGCTGAGTGGATGGCCCAACAAAGTTCAAACGTTTCGCATGCCTCCAAAAATGGTCTTCCCAAAAGTGATAAAGTCCATGAACTCATGAAGTGGACGCTCTGGACATTTTCCCTCCCATTCCGTAGCACCTTTGAGGATTTTCGCACCAAGGGAGGGTGGCCTGACATTGCAGGGATTTGTGGCCAAGCTTTGACAGAGCAAAGCTTGAACTCCCAAAATCAAAATTTGATCAAGTCACCAGTGGTTTCCATTAAAACCATCCCTACTTGAAGAGGTTCCAAAAGGGGAAATGGATGGAAATGCAGAAAACCTTGTTTGAGGCGGTTCCAATACTCCGTCATGTAATTAAGCTGGCAGGCAGCAGCGATCGCTGGCCTCTTTTGGAACCTGGAAAAAAGATGTCTGCATGAGGAAGAAAAGCAAGTCTGGGACTTGTGTGCCCCCAGGAAAGAACTGTTCAGAAGGAGGGTTTGGCGCCCTTCGAAAAGTTGGGAACCGCCGGTTAAACAACATGCCCGACCAATTGAACTAGAAGAGACACATGCGCCGCAGTGGCTGGTTTCATCATCCCTGCCGTTTTGCCGGGGGTTGAACAAACAGCAATGACTCGGCCCTCGGTCGTATGGAACAAAGCTACACACACGTTGCCCAGAAGGATAGATGCCAAACAGGGTGTGAATTGAACATGCTCGTTTCACTTGGCAGTCCTCTTCAGGAAAAACCAAGGCCCCCCCCCATACCTGAGGAGAGGGTTCTAATCCGAACCTTTCCAGTGGGTAGGGTCCAAACGAACAGCTGAAATTCCGCACCATCTGAATACCATCTAGAATTGATTAAACTCTACGAATGCGTCAAACCAACTAGCAACCGGTGCAAGGGTTTTCTCTGACTCTGAGCCGCAGGCGCGACCACATACTCGTCCTGCCAGGCAAAGCCGGAGACACACAAAGCGATTTGCGAAACGCTTTGCGGAAGCCGCATCCATATAAGTTACAACCAATACCTGCCAACAAGATGTACTCGAATCAAGGTACATCTCTCTTTCAGCACTGTAATATCCGCAGCCTTTTTTTGTGGTTGAGACTGCCCTGTGAAAATATAACCTTCACCCGGGTTTCAAGGCAAAAACAGAAACCAACCAGGATGTCACGAAACGACCGCAGCCTGTCTCCGCCACCCCCGTGGCAAAGTCAGAAGCGAACCGTGATGTCGCCAAACGACTGCGGCCTGTCTCCGCCACCCCCGTGGCAAAGAATGGATATCGCGAAACGACCGCAGCCTGTCTCCGCCACCCCCGTGGCAATGACAGAAGCGAACCAGCATGTCGCGAAACGACCGCAGCCTGTCTTCGCCACGCGCGTGGCAAAGACAGAAGCCAGCCAGGATGTCGCGAAACTGTCTCCGCCACCCCCGTGGCAAAGACAGAAGCCAACCAGGATGTCGCTAAATGACCGCATCCTGTCTCCGCCACCCCCGTGGCAAAAACATAAGCGAACCAGGATGTCGCGAAACGACCGCAGCCTGTCTGCGCGACCCCGGTGGCAAAGACAGAAGCCAACCAGGATGTCGCGAAACGACCGAAGCCTGTCTCCGCCACCCCCGTGGCAAAGACAGAAGCCCCCGTGGCAAAGACAGAAGCAAACCAGGATGTCGCGAAACGACCACAGCCTGTCTCCGCCACCCCCGTGGCAATGACACAAGCGAACCAGCATGTCGCGAAACGACCGCAGCTTGTCTCCGCCACCCGCGTGGCAAAGACAGATGCCAGCCAGAATGTCGCGAAACGACCGCAGCCTGTCTCCGCCACCTTCGTGGCAATGACAGAAGCGAACCAGGACGTCACGAAACGACCCCAGCCTATCTGCGCCACCCCCGTGGCAAAGACAGAAGCACTCCAGGATGTCGCGAAACGACCGCAGACTGTCTCCGCCACGCCGTCGCGAAACGACCGCAGCCTGTCTCCGCCACCCCCGTGGCAAAGTCAGAAGCGAACTGTGATGTCGCCAAACGACTGCGGCCTGTCTCCGCCACCCAGGTGGCAAAAACAGAAGCGAACCGCAAAGTCGCGAAACGACCGCAGCCTGTCTCCGCCACCCAGGTGGCAAAGACAGAAGCGAACAGTGAAGTCGCGAAACAACCGCATCTTGTCTCCGCCACCCCCGTGGCAAAGACAGAAGCGAACAAGGGCGACCGCAGCCTGTCTCCGCCACCTGCGTGGCAAAGACAGAACGCAGCCTGTCTCCACCACCCGCGTGGCAAAGACAGAAGCGAACCAAGCATGTCGCAAAACAACCGCAGCCTGTCTCCGCCACCCCCGTGGCAAAGACAGAAGCGAACCAGGATGTCGCGAAACGACCGCAGCCTGTCTCCGCCACCCCCGTGGCAAAGACAGAAGCCAACCAGGATGTCGCGAAACGACCGTGGCCTGTCTCCGCCACCCCCGTGGCATTCAGAAGCGAACCAGGATGTCGCGAAACGACCGCAGCCTGTCTCCGCCACCCCCGAGGCAAAGACAGAAGCAAACCAGCATGTCGCGAAACGACCGCAGCCTGTCTCCGCCACCCCCGTGGCAAACACAGAAGCGAACCAGGATGTCGCGAAACGACCGCAGCCTGTCTCCGCCACCCCCGTGGCAAAGACAGAAGCGAACCAGGATGTAGACAGAAGCCAGCCAGGATGTCTCCGTGGCAAAGACAGAAGCGAACCAGGATCCGCAGCCTGTCTCCGCCACCCCCGTGGCAAAGACAGAAGCCAACCAGCATGTCGCGAAACGACCGCAGCCTGTCTCCGCCAACCCCTTGGCACAGACAGAAGCGAACCAGGATGCCGCGTCACGACCACAGCCTGTCTCCGCCACCCCCGTGGCAAAGACAGAAGCGAACCAGGATGTCGCGTCACGACCACAGCCTGTATCTGCCACCCCCGTGGCAAAGACAGAAGCCAACCAGGATGTCGCGAACAAAAAACGCAGCCTAAGTATCTCCGCCACCTTGTGAGCCTCCCAGGTTCTGACTAAGTGGGCTTTGGTTTCTCTTCCCCTTAGCAACAGCCTGAGTACGACCCCATAAATTCACAAGGTGGAACCACCTGCACCTTAACAATAACCCTAACAAACTGGACGAGCCGTAAGCAGTGGAAATCACGTAAATACATGGACACCCTAGACTTCCAAAGGACATTAAATAAATGGCCGAGGTGACGTGCATGCATATTTGGCGCGCAGGTCTTTCATTGCCCCATTGCCAAGCCAGAAAAGAGCAACAACGTCCTGAGAAGACACGTGCCGCGAATTGACACCAAAAAGGTGCAAAAACGGGGTGTGCAGAAGATGTCTTTTCTAGGGCAATAAATGGCCGTTCTACGGCAGAAAATGCACTGTCTACGGCAGAACATGTACTTTCTACGGGCTGTCTACGGTTTGTCTGTGGTCCTTCTCGGTCGCAAGCAACGAGCTCAACAAATTTCGGTTTTACGACTCGACCTGATGTGAATATCCTGATTTTGCAATGTGTTTCCCCTTCTGTGGAATCAAGTACCCCTGACTTACACCTTACTTTTCGTAGCAGTTTTTTGCTTGCCTATGGTTTTCCGGAATAGTTTGTGGTATGTCCATGGTTTGTCTAAAAAATGGCCCGCCAGTGGATGCAAGACATGTCCCTTCTCGAGCACAAAAAGGCCCTTGTCCCAAGGATATTTGTTTAATCGACGAGGAAGTTCTGGGGACAGGAAAAACCACCCTGAAACATTGAACCCCCCCCCTCCGGCTCCAAGTAAAAACCTGACAACGGACCCCGACGGCTGGGAACCGCCAAGTTGAGAACATCGACTCCACTCGAGCTTCCCGTTTTCGGCCTGCATGGGGGACACGGCCAGCTGGGCAATCGCCTTCCGCCAAGCTCGTTCGCAGGCCCGATGTTTTTTGGAGCAGAAGGCCCCGTCTTTTTCAGAGGGGATTAGCCCCACAGCCCCATGGGGGAACAAAGAATCCGAGGGCCTTTTTTGGGGGGTTAGTTTAAAGAGGCGGTTTAGGCCAATGAGACAAAATGGCAACTGGGGATCTGCTATATGCAGTGACGGTTTAAGAAGGGAATGGGTTGAGCATGGGAAGCCAACAAAGGAAAGGAAAACAAACTGGTGCCACTGAACAACTCGTCCTGCACATTCTTGAAAGCAGCACGTGCATCGCGTGGAATGGTGAACTGTGCCCCCCCCCCTTTCTTTTTGAGACATCCTCAATCGGCGGGTTTCCGGTTGGGCTTTCCAGCTGAAAAAAGGCTTCCTGGAAAGTGTTTGGGCAAGATCCACTAAGATGTGCCCCAAAATTTGTCTGAATCCTTGGTTAGCACAAAGCTCAAAAGCAAAACCAAAGTTAACCAGGTACATGATGGGACTTTGGCACAAACTGCATGCACATGGTCTTCCAAAACAGGGGTGGCTGTTAGTAGTTTGTGGCGCCAGGCCCCAACGCCACCGTGATGAGCCTCTTCTTTCGGACCTACTTTGATGTTCAAATGGGGCATATCCCTGGCCACGCAACACACAAAAACAAGTTCTGGCCATGGAGGAAACAAGGGCGCCCTCTGGGTAGTTGATTTGAAAGGGACCCCCCCAACAAACAAGTTGAAAAAGACACCAGAACCATGGTTGCCTGCGTGAGTTGAATCGAAAGGGTATCCTGGTTAAAGCTGGAGGCGTGACGAGGGGAATGGCCCCTGACCTCCATCTATTTGATTGACTGCGGCTCACAAGCTCCTCAAAACATTCTCAAAAACACACACACACAAACCACCACCGAACAGGAACTTGTTCGAATCATTTTGCAAAAGGAGAGAAGCCAAGCCACGAAACCAAAAGGGGAAGTGGGTGCCACTGCTTGGTCTGGCCATTTCCATAGGTTCCCAGTTCCGCTGCGTAGCATGCCTGCTTGTGGCCAGAGGGGAAGATCATGGCCAAATCCCCAGACCTCGAAATCTCGCACAGCCCGTTGCCAAACACACCATTTGGCCCTTTGGAGAGGATTAAGCCCGAAGAAAAGTGGAGGGTGTTGGGGGGGAGGGAGTCTCATTTAAGAGGAAGTTGAATGACCTTTTTGGGCAACGCCCCTGTTCATCCACCGGGCTGATGAATTTCTGAGGTTGATATTGCGTGCGCACGTGATTCGTGCCCCGGACCAACCAAATGGGGTGCCAAAGGGATAAGGATAGATGTTTGCACGCTAGAACAGGTCCTATTAAGGGGGGGGGGTGTTCCCTCCGAAAGTGATGAATTCCCAATTAATCAATCCGGCTCGAAAATCGGAGATCGGCTACCATGGCCATTCCCCATGAGTCACCACGGCCCTGGCGAAAAAGCCTTAGCCACACTCTCAGCTTAGCAGGGAGATCTTCAAACTGCGGCGGGAGGCACCGACCCGGAGGCCTGGGGTGACCGGGTGAATGGCCTTTCGGATTGACCCGTTGAATTGGCTCTATGCAATGGATGGCACAAGGTCCGAACCTCGGAACCCTTTCATTAGACCTGTTAAGCACGTCCCCTGAAAGCCTTTTTGAGGTGACAGTCTTAAACTTCACCGACCACAATGCTAGCGTCTCAGGCTGGGGCACAGTGTAAAGGCACACATCTCCATCCTCTTGGACCTCAGGAACGCGTGGGATTCCAGGACCCATGAGCCGATTGATTGGTAGGGGAGCTGCCAGAATCCAAACATATTTTTGTGGGAAGACTTGAACACCCTCTCCCACAGTTGGGAGAGCACTGGCCCAAGAAACTCAGATATAACGCCAATGTCATCACCCACCTGCACAATCTACCCTTCCTCCACTACTAAAAGGCATTTTTGGGAGGGCACCAAGGTCAGTTTGCGCTTAAAGGGACTATGTCCTGTCAGGTGCCATGGCAGAGGGGGGTATCAGGTTGGATACTTTGACGTCGATTGGAGGAAACCACACTAAGGGCTAAGGAATGGTCAGGAGTCATGGACCAGGAGTGGATATCAAACATAATTGTAACAGCCGCTCGGCCCAGCCCTGCATTGAAAAGCCTGCGATTTTGAGGTCCAGAACCTTTCCTTGAAAGATGGGCCTGGGGATTTCTTTCTTCCACCCCCTACTAACTGGGGCCTCAGCAGTCAACGGCCACCGCTATCGTATGAACTTCCTCCTGTTGGTTCCCTTGACAGACGGCCAGGGTATGGTAACCCTGCCCAATGCGGCCATGTTGAGCTTTTGTCAGGTCCATGCCAATTACGAGCCTTGATATAGCCTGCCCCTGACGTCAGCAGTACCCCTGACACGATTCGACACAAAAGGCTTCACGCCCGTGGCGAAATAACCCGAACTTGCGATATCAAAGTGGGAGTCGCGTCCCTTCTACACTGTGACTTGCAACCCGTTCCCTTGGAAAATCACAGAAAAGTCCGTCACAGACCCGGGGTGCCAAGATCTGGCCGAGCGAAGCCTATCGAGCCTTCATATCACAGGCATGTTCTGGAAGGCTCCAGCGCGCTGATTTTGCTCGCCATTCGGGAGCCGAGCGCAGACTTGAGTCATTGAGAGCACTGTACACTGTACAAGCGGACTCCATGTAGTGAGCTCTTCAAGCACAAAAGCTATGCTTTGTTGTGTGGGGAACTCAAAAAATCCCCCATGTCCCTCCTAAATGGGCCATGGACTGCTAGTGATTTTGAGCGCACCTGGCAGCTCTGAAAGGCTTTTTAAAAGCAAATTTGGATACCCCCAGCTCCCAAATGGCCCCCTTCCAACCAACAGCCAAAGCCTGTTCACGCCGCTGCCGGCTCCAGACTCCGCAGTCTGGGTTGAAGTCTCGTGCCGAGCGTGGCCTTCTTCCACCTCCGCTTCCAAGCATCCTCCGTTTGGATGTGGTTGGCGCGCACGTACCTATCGCTCCCCGGGTTCCGGGGCCGCCTCCACAGCTTAACGTGTTTGGAGGGGAGCCACCAAACTTCCTGAGTGGATTGGCAAAAAACATATCTGAATTTTAGATGTGGCACTAAACTGGTCACCCAAACCATTGGTCGCACAGGGCACTTGGCGACAGATTCCTGGAAGGCCTTCGCTGGGATGCGAGCACTGCGACGCACCACGAAGCCTCCGCCAAGCCGATTTTCGGATTGTAACTCGCTTTCTGAGTAAATCGGCTTAAAACGAGTCTGAACTTTTATATCTTTTATATTTACCACTCAACCTTTCCAAAAAGTTTAAACTCCAGGAGCTCGGGAAGTGAGTAAAAGGATCCAAGGATCCCTGGGCTGTCCAAACCGATCCCCAAGCTAAAAGCTTATCTTTCGGTGGGTTCAATGGAAACCCGAAAAAACAACACCATTTCTGGACCCATTTTCTTTAGGGGGCTGGGATTTGGGTCTGCGGCACCTTCCGGCGTCTGGCGCTCTGATACCGCAGAGGGCTCTTGCTTCCACTTCTCCAGGCATTGCTGGAGCTGGTCGGCGGAAGCGAAGGTCCCACGGAAGACCAGCGGCACCTACGGCCGAGTCGGTTGATGCTCTCAGCACCCTACCTGCTGGAGGAGGGGTGGGCGGTCCCCCCAATCTGTTCTTGGCACCACAAATGGAATCTCAGAGGTCGCCACTCTCTAATTCGATTTGTAAGGGGGGGATCCCTAAACCAGGCATTCAGCTCCCCGCGAAAAAGGGTGGCTGAAGGTGGTTTGGAGATGTTCCAAATAGTGTCCCATCTGCCCTCTACAAGAAACAGTTCATCTGCTCACAGGTGCCGATCGGGTTGGTGCCCCGAACAAACTGAACAACCCGGATTAGCAGAACGCCGGGTTGATTTTTGAGCTAGCTGATCAACAAGCCCCGGATTAATACCCGGGTTGATTAATAGGGGGGGGTGTCCCCAACTTTTAGTGGGGATTCAAACCATTTCTGAGGGAAATTTGCAACACCCCCTAATAGGATGGCTGCTTCAATTCGGAGCCAACATTAACATTGAATGGACGATGGGTGGATGCCAGAAGAACTTTCCGCAATTCTTGCTTGCTGTTGGCACCTCTCCAAAAAGTGATTAACTTGTTGCAGGTCCAATTCGGGAAGCCCACTATTTCAACAAACAACTTAAAGTCCAAAGAGCCAACCAAATAGCCATAAAGAATTTAGGAGACGATCTGTAAGTCGATAAAACAAGCTAGCTTGGTTGGGTATACCGGTACATGACCATGGAACGTTTTATATACTGGGCGGACATCTATGAGGAGATCCTTGCTGAAATGCCCAACGGACATTTTCACCAAGCATGAACCCGTGAAAAAACGCCCGAGCGAGACGCCGTGGGCAGGTCCAGCCGCTCCGCGAGCGCCACGGTCTCGTCCCAGCTCAGCCACCCGCGCGCGTCCCGTGCCCCGAAGACCTCCGACTGGGGCGCTGTCGGGTGGAAAAGGCGAGGAAAGCGTTGGGCGGGGGGGGGGGAGGGGGGCCCAAACGCTCACCCAATTTCACTTGGTTAAGGCTCCAAAAAAAAGAAGAACATGGAACCCTAATGCCCCAATTCAATTTTTAAGGGGTGGTGGAGCCAAAAGCAGTTCAAAACCAAAGAAGGTACAATTTAGATGGTTTTGGAACCCCCTCGTTTGGGTAACCCCTTTTTTGGGGGGCTTTCAAAGGAGGATTGGCTGGAGAATCGGTTGGCTTTCAAAGCAAAGCCAGAAGGAAACTCACTATTGGGATCCCCCCAACTTTGGACAAAAAAAGGCCGAAAAGGGATCCAAACCTACAAATTTGTGGAAACAACATGGGGTCCAAAATCTAGCTATGAGAGCAACGTTGACGTGATTTGAGTTGTATGACGTGGTGGCTAGTTGGTGGCTGGACAAGTGAGAACAAGACAAGGATCCAAACAGATTGCAAGTTTGTGATTGGAAACCATTTTTTAAACAGTCCAACGTTGACCCTCCTACCCATGTTGACATGGAACCCACATGGAACCTACTTGAACGTTTATTTGGGCGAGTGTCAAGACAGGGGGACTCCCAACATTGAACGGCTTTCCCCTTGATTTCTCTGGAAGCCAAGGTGAAAAGGGCTCTCTCAGTTCAAGTGTCCCCTATTTCTCCCCTACCGAGTTGACATGAAGCCCAAAAAGCAGGTCCCTCAACAAAAAGATTCCTCTAACAATAGACTGTAGGGGAGTACCCTCTTCCAACAATCATGGAGGTGGACATGACGCCGATTCAAGAGGACTGTAGTCTGCCAAGCCCTTCTGTATAAGCTTCCACGTCTGTTGGAAAGCGGGGAGATGCTGAGTTGGATAAAAAGAAGCGGAAACAAGCACACACACACACACACACCCATGTTAGGAATAAAATGCAAAGGACCTGTTCGTGCGCGCTTAGTGCGCCACAAAGTCCCCCTCTGGTAAGGGAAACCCTCAGATTGCGACCTTCTCAAGGGAAACGTGTAGGACAAAACGAGGCCCGGTACATTCGTAGAGGAAGTGGGGAGGCTGCACATTTCATAGCCAAGGAGCGTAGAAGAAGCTTTCCAGGTTCGTATACTCGATGCTGTGTATCCCCTGCCTCGGGGATAGAAGGGCTGAGGCTTTTGAATTTGGCGACTTGCCCCATTTTGCTTTCTTTGTTCTACGGTCTAGTGGCCTGTCGTTCGTGTTTCCGCTCAGAGGGTGGATGGACACAAACGCGCACCCGTTGGGACAAATGAACCCGCATAAATGGGATACACCACCTATCCCAACTGGTGCGAAACGAATTTTGTCCATCCATGGGGAAGATGGCTCGAAATAAGGGACACCCAAACATGTGCTTTCCTTTGGTTTCCATTTTAAGCCACCCCAAAAAGCACTCCCTCAAAACAAAAAACTGCAAGATGGGCTCCGCTACCCCCAAACCACTACCCCCAGGGTAAATTGGGACATATACCCTTCATATGGGGCTATACAGTGGCTGTGTATCCCATGCAATTAGTGGTTTGGGCGAAGTGGAAACCATCTTACACTGTTGGACCCACCCAAAGGAATCTACAGCTCTGGGAGGAGCGGCATGTTTTCCCCGAAGACTTGGACATCTTCCAGCGCGCTCGCGAAGTTCGCCGCCAGCTCCTTCACTGCAGAGAAGGACTCGTGGCTGGCCGGCTGGGCATGGGTTCGCCCGTAGACCTGAGGAAAGAACAGGGTGCGCTTTTTTCGTGAGGGACGCATTTAGGCCAATTACCAGCTGATTTGGGCGTCTCCTTTGCGCATTTAGGTTTCGAGGCACGTTGCCATGGCACGACGGGTTGTGGTTGGGAGCATTTTCCTCTAAAAGGGACCCCTCTGGTGGGTTCCGTGTCAATTTGTGGGAGGGCGCCCGAAATGAACATGACGCAAAGCCGTGAGATTTCGGTGTTATACTTAGTTGGGGCTGAGGGTTAGCTACATGGCTATTACTTCTAAGTTGCGACGGTTTGCAATGGCTCACCACTCAGTTGACTTCCAGCACGTCCATGGCCTTGTGATGGGGCCCAAGGGGGACAGCTCCGAAACTGCAACGAGCCCCACACCTGGCCGCCCTTGATGCAGCAGTTGCCTCCGTCCAGCTTCTCTGTCACAACCACCTCCCCCTGGAGGAGCAGTTGGCAATCAGAGATCTGCGTGTCATCCGGGTTCCTGACTGCTCGGTCAGAGGCTAGCAGTCTTCCTGCTAAATATTGTTTGCGTCTGACAAAACGGGGCATTATGCACATGGAAAACAGACAACGAGGAAAGAACCAGCCCTAGGGTTGTTTCCCCTACCGAATTCCCGCAACCATGACCAGCCCAACAAAGAAATGAATAAAGACAACAAACAAACAGAGAAAGAAAAAAAGAAAGAAACACAGAGCTAAAGAACAAAGAAGCAATCAAGCCAGCCAGCCAGCAACCAAGCAAACAAACAAGCAAACAAAGAAAACCAAAAACAAAGAAACAACGAGCCAAAGAACAAAAGCAGCAACCAACCAACCCACCAAACAAGCAAACATACACACACACAGAAGGAAAACAACAACCAAAGCAAACAAGCAAACAAGCGAGCACACAAGCTCAAACAACCGAGTGAGCAAGCGAGCGAGCAAGGCAAGGCAAGGCAAGGCAAGGGCAAGGCAAGGGCAAGCCAAGGGAAGGCAAGGGAAGGCAAGGCAGGCAGGAAGGCAGGCATGCCCATACATTTTGCATTCAATCCCACCACATAAGATCAAGAAGTAGTGAACCAAACACATGAAGACAACAAACAGCAATTAAGTAACATATAATAGTCGAAGAAAGCAAAGAAGTGAATAACAAAACACATGGATACAAACTCAACTAACTAGTCAAGAAAGCCAGAAACAACCACATGCTGTGAACATACACACTAACTGTGTATCCAACAACGGCGAAGCTTCACGCCGGGCGAGAATGGCAGATGCGGGGTCTTTGGGTAGTTGTCCTTTGCCACGGTCTCTGGAGAAGCCTGCGCTTCCTTGTAACCTGGGCTGGGCGTTGGTCAGTTTTGAGGTGTAACAGGGTTGCTCTAAGACCCAAAAAGGCACAAGAGGTAGAAACAATGGCTCACTTTTGAAATCAAGCTGTTCTCCTGTCTTCGCTATCTTGTACTGGCTAGCTTTTATGTTTCAGGAACTTGTTATTCTCAAACGCAGAAGCAGTCAAAAGGTGCATTTGGGAAACCAAGCTCAGGAAAACACGTGGAATGTTTTCGGGGTTCAACACAAAAGGAGGCTTCCTAATTATCATCTACCCTGGGGTTGGAGCCTGCGATTTTAGGGAGATTTGCTCCCGCTCAATTTGCAATGCAGGTTCATTTAATTTGTGATGCTTTAAACTTATGACTTGTGATCAAATGCCCCCCAGACCCGCACATGTCCATTCGAGCGGCACATCAACCCACAATCTGCCCGATTCACAATCCTGGACAGGATCTGCAAGCCAATGGTGAGCTTGCTTGAGGCATGCGTCCTACAGACCCAGCCCTCCTCCCCTCATCTTCCCAGGTCATGGGCGGTCATGGGGGCCTGGGATGGCCCATGGGTGTGCCAGTCTTGCGCACAGGTACCAACCTCAAGCAACTGGAATCAGGGGTACCCACAAAACAGTTTCAGCTGAAGAATTCGGTTTTTCACCCGTTTCCAAAACACCAACCAATTGCATCCAGTCTTCCCGCTTTGCGGAGAACACAAATTGAATTCCAAGAGTTTCCCATGTACCCTCTATAAGGGCCGAGGGTTCAAATCCAAATCCAAGCCCCAATTGCCCTTCTCCCCACCCACATGGCATCAGTGGGAGGGTACTGGGAAGATCAAACTCCTCTTCAATGCACCCCCTGTCAGCTGCCATGTTGGGAGGAAGGGTAAGGGGTTAAGGGGTACCTGATCAATTCCCTGCATCTCAGGCCGGTTTTCATCCAGAGCCGCCCGAGCCGGCGCCATCCGCTGCACTTGGACCTTCCAGGCCCAGCTTCTTGCAGCAGAAGGCGACAGCTTGGGCCACCCGCCGCGCCTCCGCCTTTCCGCCGCGGCGGACGGGCGCGGACAGGTGCTCAGGGAAGGAAGCCCAAGACCCACGTTGAAAGGCAAGGGGTTGACAGGTGCTAGGGCAAAACCAGTTGCCAAATAAGATCGCACCGTGAACAAACGAGCTTCCAACAAAAGACAATCGCCCCCATACCTGGGGTGTGTGGGGTGGACTGTGTCTTAAAGCATGGCGCGACACGAAAGGAGGACTCAACGGTCTCATGGGAAACACTCGAACCTCCATTTGCTTAAGTCCCCCGGAAAGAATAAAACATATACCTCCAGTACTGATAGCTTAGAGGATAGATTCCCCTAAAAACCTTAGACAATGCTCTTAACTAAATGGAGATCATGGAGATCAATGAGCCCTTCTGGGTTGGTCTTTAATCTTGCATGAAATTTGTCGGTAGGTTGGCAGGTCGGGTGTTCCGGAGGTGGCCCGAAGCAAAGGGCGACTATCCCAAAAGCAGAGATTGACATTGTTGACATGTTGAAGGCTAATCTATCATTGCCTAAAGCCTGGGATCTAGCGCTGTCCAATAATCACGCAGTGCTTTAATGGACTAGGACCTTGCAACTTCAACTTGGAACGACTTTCTAGAATTTGTTTCTTTGTGGGGAAACGGAAAGACTACCCAAACGAGAACACACTTCTTTTGATTTGGGGACCGTGAGGCAGCGCAGGCTCAGGCCATAAGCCAACCTCAGATTTTCTGGCTGAGAGTCTTCGAAATTCGGTCTGTCCAAAAAAGAAAAGAGTATCGGCCCCTTCAAGCAACTTAGGGCTATAGAGCGTGCATTGAATTTAACAGCCAGAATCTTCAGTCTTTAATCTTGGAACCCACGCTTTCAAGCATTGAACGTATCCTGTGCAGGGTTGCCAGAAACATGTCCAAATTTGGGAAGTCTGCATAATATGCGCTCACTTCGCCTGCGTGAATCACGACAACTTTGCACACCAGGCCCTCTGTTTCGGAGAAACGGCACTGCCTGTGACAGAATGCAAACCCGAATTGGCTGGTTGTCAGTCAAGCGTCCAGTGGAATTCCAGCAGTTTTCGGGGCTTGGTTTTGAAGAGAACCCCGCACACAAAGAAGAAGAAGGAATACTGCTGGATGGGGTCATTTGGCCTACCCTTCAAGCTTGCCGTGGGTCTCTGCCAGCTGGGTCAAAACATGATGGTGGAAAAACTGAGACAACAAGGATTCACCACCCCGTCAAAAAACCAAACGTGGGTCTTCATTTGGGGAAACTGCCAGTGGGTGAGTCTTAAACCTTATGAATGCTCACGAAACTTGCCCGCCAAGAACGCGCCTCATCCTCCTCTGGGATTGCCTGCGCAGATGGGTTCCAACTTCACACAAGCGCAAGTGCACAGGCGACCCTTTGAATGCTCCCACCTTCAGGGGCAGGCAGGGTCTCGTCGAGTCTTCCCCACAACAAGGATAATTGAACTCATCAAACTCCAGGGCTTTCAGCGGACAATTTCCCCCCAATTCCATTTTGAAGGAAGTGGGGACCTCCTTTGTGGAGGAAGAAGATTCCTCTTTTTCCCCAAATGAGCGCCTGACGTCAAACCTCACTAATTAACCACCCAAAGCAAATTAATCTTACGAATGGTTGAAAGTAGTGGACACCTAAACGCGCCTTTGCCAACGAATTTGGTCGCCGAACCTTTTTCCGGGCACCGAACTTCTCCGCCGAGAAGTCTCGAGCAAGTGGATCTGCCTGCGCGAGCTTCAGCTGCTCGAGGGCGTCCTGATGGCGCTGGAGCAGCAGCAGCGCGAAGCCTTTGGAGCGGCGCGCCGAGGCGTCCGCGGGGACCAGCTGCAGCAACCTGAGACCAGCCGGGGTGGGAAAAGCAGAAGCCACCAGGAAAACCCGAGGAAGCCATTTAGTCGCATCTAGTTTGGTTGCTTTTCGTTGTAAGGAAGCAGTGCCAAAATTTGTGGAAAATAGACAAACTTGTGATAACAAAAAGTGACCGTTTCGATACATTTGTCATTGCATTCATTCCATTCACTTTGAAATGGATTCTCAGGGAGTAAGCCGACAAACCCATCGTTTTCGTTCAAGATCATTTTGCCCAGATTCCCTGAAAGCCAACCTGAAAAGCAGGTGGTCTGCAGGTTTGTTCGGTTTCCGCCAGGTCTTTCTGCGTTGCTGCAACGTCACCCCGTCCAAGTTGGTTTCAATGGAAACCACTGAGACATTAGCCACTGGCGTTAAAGGCTTTATCCATGGAAAGGAGTCTAGAGAGCGGAGTTTGATTCTGGCTCTGACTGTCCCTACCCTGCCAGCTTTTGATTTCGGCCCTAAGAATCCAATCCCTTGAAAACCAACAAGGGTAGATAAACAACACATGGAATGCAACTGGAAGCCTTGGTTTCCTTTTGCCTTTTGTGTTTCCTGATAGTTTCCCACACAGCCCAGTCTTAGGCATCTTTCGCGGGGTTTACCTCAGTTCGGAACCCCTTGAAGTTGGAGCCTAGGCACTGGTCCGCGTAGGTGAGGACCTGGTCGGGCTGCTTCAGACGCCCGTGGCACAGGCACAGGGCTCTTAAAGCAGCAGCCTAAAGCCAGCGATGGAACCCGAAGATTCAGGGCTATCGGATTTTATGTGGGGGCCCTTGGTGGACATTTAGGTTGGGATTCATGTCCAGGTGGTTGCCTACTGCGGGTGGACCAAATCCATTTTGCACCATTTTAAAGCCATGCGATATGGATGTCGTCCATCCACAGTAGGGGGTCTGGCTCTTAAATTTTGAGCCACACCCAGTTGTGCATCAGGGGTCCCAGTCCCCAAGAAAGACATCCCCCGCAAAAACGCAGACTCCCGTAAGAATCAATGAGAGTCATTCAGCTCCCTCCGTCTGGCAGGTGGATTGGAGGTGGTCCCATCGACCCGGAGGAAGGGTGCAAATCACCGAACCACAAATGACACCATCCGCTGAGGGGCACCTGAACCATGGTGGGTTTTGCCGCGCCCCCACAAGGTTTCACTTTTTGAGGGCTGGGTACAAAACAAACGTCCAAACAAGAAGTTAAAGGTTAAAGATCCAACCAATCTGAGCAACGCCACAAACCTGTTGACTGTTGCTTCTACTAACATGGTTCGTAAGGTTCACATGCTGTGAATGAACGAATCCTTCACCACGTTGAAACCATGGGACACCATTGTTTGTTGGTATTTGATGGTATTTACAGGGGTATCATCCTTCCAAGGTTTCTTCAGTGGTGCGAAATGGATTTCGTTCATCCAGAGTAGGGACTACTAGAATCCCTATTATACCAGGTAGTAGAACCAGCCTAAAATCGCCAAGAGGAATCGTGTTGGGCGCTGCTCATCTCATTCCCTCCCTCCAGTGGAATTTGGTGTACGTGAATTTGGTGGGGTTCAGAATTGCTCATCATTGGGTCGTTGGCTTCTTCAATGTTCAAATTGTGGGTGTGGGGAATCGGACCTCTTTTTGGAGGGTTTTAAAGGAACACCAAAAGGAAACCACCTACCTCGAGGGGTCCCCAATATTGAGAAACACCCCCCCCTTTCCATAAGGAAAGCCATCCGGACTCGGACGTGGTTGCGCCATGTTTGGAAGGGTGCACTTCCGACTCAAGCAAGACGTCATGTAATTTGGAAAGCCCATACTGCGGGTGGACAAAGTCCTGCATCACTTGGGATGGATAACACCCTGCAAATACCAGGGGGAACTACCAGAAATGGTTGTCAATCCACAGTATGCCCACACCCCAGTGAACCACTCCAATTTGGACCCCCCCCCCCAGGAGGCTTTTTGATGGTTCCACTTGAAGGGAAGCCACCTCTGAAAAACCGTTGTCACCCCTCAATCAAGCTTTGTCTTTTGGCCAGGGACACTTTTGCCTGGCTAACTTTGTTCAAAGACCAGAACCCATCCATCCCCCCAGAACGGCCGGGATACATCACCCAGACCGCCAGTGGATACCCATGGGAAATCACAAAAGCCAATTTTGAACCCAGGGATCCATTGGGGACCCCGTGGTGGGCATGGTGGGGATTCATGTCCATCAACTACTTTTCTGGGATGCCCTCAGATCCCCCGCTACAAGTTTAACAACCACAACCTAAGGGGACGTCTGGGAACCGCCAATTTTTGAGGTGGTTCCCTATTAAAAATCTTAGCCATGGGAAGGGGGGTGGGGGAGGTCATTCCATGTTTCTAGCCCACAAAAACGGAAGGATGGAAATTAAATTGATGGGTTTGTCTTTTTTGCATTGTGCCCAATTTTGGGTGGCTTTAAAGGGAACCCAAAAAGGAAAGAGACCATTTTGGGGTCCCCCAAACAAGAGACACCAGACGGTGTTGGGCTCGCCCTCCCCCAATTCCATTTCTGGATCTGACCCGACGGCTCGGCCTCCGCCTCAGCGTCCGCGTGCGCCGTGGCCCCTTGCAGCGCCGTCTCGGCCAAGGAGATCGCCTCCGTCTCCGGCAGCTTCCGCGCCAAAGCCACCAGCGCCTGCCCGAAGCCCCGCGGGCGCATGGAAAGCGGCAGGCGGAAAGCCCAAGGTTGAGACAGGCAACTGGAAACATGAAGGGAAGGAACCCAAAGCATGATCTCCTTTCAAAAGTTGCCTTCAAGAATGCTCTCGGTTGATGTTCCATGGGCAATTTGCGAAGTATACTCAAAATAGGGGAACCTCAGATGAATTTGTGGGTATGCTGTTGACGGTTTACCTCAAGTTCCTTGTCATAGCCAAACGGAGGCTTCGTACTTTGAGGGTGAAACTAAAAGTGGGTGGTGTCCTTTGCGACCTCTTAAGCCAAGCACAAAGACAAGGGCCCCGAACACACCAAACATTGGCAAAGGTTGCACTGAGTGGCTGAAAATGGGGTGTGGTTGGGGCTATGTTTATCAGCATGAGGGCACTGGTGGGTTCAATGAAACCGCAAATCTTCAAGCGCTTCAAGGCTCAAGAAGGGACAACTGGGTGAGCCCTGTTCAGGAGGGACAAAAAAACCCAAGCCCCGCCCACAGGTAGTCACAACATGTAGTGACCATGGTAGAAACCAAGAATCTTCTTTCGGAACGATTTTGGCAACGCCACCAGGCAAAAAGGGATTTAGAGAGCGTCACTGAAGAACTAGGGACAATCGTGCCATCCTCAACTGCTGCTGCCCTTTGCCCAGGTTTACTTCCATCTTTATTCACCCTCTCTCCCAACAGACTGTAGATGAGAACCACGCGGAGAAGTCGGCGCCCGCCCCAGCCCGCCTGGAGGCACTGGACCTCAGGCGCCGTAGAAAGCGTGCTGAGGCCTTTGGCCTTGCTATGGACGTCGGAGTTTTGGAAGCCCAAGGTGATGTGGAAATCCTCGTTGAAAAAGGCGGACGTTTCGAGCCATACTGTGGATTCTGGATGGTTGCGAAAGTCACTTCGCACCACCGTTCAAAACCCTGGGGTGATGGTTCGCCTGTAAATACCAACGTGCAATGGTTTCCCAGGGTTGCAAAGTGGTGCAGGATTTCGTCCACGAACAGCCTTTTGGAAAGCTAGATGGGTTTTGCTGGTAAATTGCAATAGGCCCCCTCTAAACAGTGCCACCCACTTTCAACTAAACTAATCGTAAAAGGACAACTGAGTTTCCAGTTCAGCACAAACCTACGCTCTATCCAACGATCATGGAAGCTTGGCCGTGGGGGTGTTTCCCGAAGTAAAGTAATAAGTCTTCCAAAAGCCTCATCACGATTGTTGGAGGGAGGGCTGAGGGTAGGGTTTTAATGTTTGCATTGTTCATCATTTTTGTCAAGGGCAATATTGTAAGATGGCCCCACAAGTTGACTCAGAGATCCACCCCTGGCCTTTGGGGAGTGAGAATCCGCCAAAGAAAAGCGAAAGTCCGCAGGACTTACTGTGGATGGACTTTGGTCCATTTCGAACCAGGTTTACCCATTGTATGCACATTTTTTCAACTGGCCAAGGAACTTTTAAGGCATCCCTTGCAGAAAGCTGATGCAAGTCCTGGGCACCTGAAAGAGGGAGCTTTTCCGGGCAAATTGCAATACGTCACCTATACCTACCTTGTCCAAAGAAGCATGATATAGAAGGCCAACATGGTCAACCCAAAAGGTCGATTCGATTGGACAAGTGAGACCGAATGGGATCCCTCAAGAAAGCGCCACATGTTCACCAGCGAAAGCGTGGACTGAGGTCCTTCAGCAGTGCTCCAAAGACACATGGGTCACATGGGTAGAACACTTTGAACCAAACCAATGCTCTACCCTTGTGATCTCGCGCTGGCTTGTAGGTTGGGGATGGACCCACCAATTTGCCCTCTCCAAGACTGACTTCAAGAAGGGGTTCACATCCAAATTCAGTCCCCGCTGATCCAAACCAGCAACTGAATCAGCCAACTTGTGTTTTCGTAGGGCTCCTTCGATATTACTTGATAGGCTCCGGCCCCGTGAGTGGCCAAGGGGATCGTTGGGGAAGTCTCCCCCCCTGTTGGGAAGGGCCTCCTCTTTTATGGCTTCCTCTCTAAATTGTGGAAGTCTCGAAGCGAATCGGCGGCTTTTCAGGTATCGCGAACTGCCCTCCCTGAACACCCGGGAGGTATCGTAGAAAGTCGCTGGGAGCGTTCGTGACGGCCCTTTCCACTTCTCAGAAGACACCCTCTTTACAGTGCTCAGATCCCCTGCTGATTTTTTTCTTGGGGTGACTGAAACTCCCAACTGGACCCTAACCTAACAACCTCACCGGACGGGCTGGGTGCCCCTTACCTCTTTCACCCTGAAGTCCCATGGGATTGGTTTTCTGTGAGTGGATCCTGGGATCCACTCCGACTAAGAAGGGGTGCTTTGAAGAATCCACAGTTCAAGCCAAACTCTGCTGTACAAAGTTGAATCCAATCCTAAGTTCTCCCCTCAAAAACGAAAAAATGCCACAACATTCAAATAATTTTGAAGAACTCAGCTTTTGAAGGACCAGTGATGTCCTCAAGAGGGCCCCAAGGCTCCTTCCGCTTTGTGGCAAACTCCCCCCCCCCTCCCCCAGCCGCGCCAACCCGCCGCTCCTTGGGAGGCAGCTGCAAGTTCCGGCGCAGCTCCGCAGCGGCGGGCCAGAGCAGCACACGGAAGCGGCTCTCGGAGCCTGCGTGCAAAACGATCGAATCGATCGGTTGGGATGGATGAGGCCCTATGGGGTGTCTCGGAATAAGGGACCCTCAATGTTTGGCTGTCAACCTTGGTTCCTGCTATGACCCCTCTGCAAGAAGTTTGGAACTGTGTGGGTCCAATGGACAAAACCTACTGTTTCCCAAGACGTCCGAGTCCAATCATCCAACCAAATAGCCATAAAGCAACATTGAAGCACACCTGGCGCGAGCTGGGTTTCATCCATCCATGCCCCCACTGAACCTGTGGATGGACAAAGCCTGCATCAGTTGGCAGGTTTTTTACCCGAGCAAGCATAGGGCCAATCCGAACAAATCACGAGATCCACCCGTTTGTAGTGAGTAGCAATCAGTCAGCATACCCAACCGATAGTGTACAGCTGACACACTTTGAAGATTCTCCAGGAAATAAGCGGGCCACAATGGGGGCTCTATGTGCGAACTGATTGTTGCACACAATAAGCCTCCAATAAGCCTCCATTTGCTTAAGTCCCCTGGACAAATATACAATACTATTTTCCGAGTAGTGACAATTCCCCTTTAAAACCAAAAGGGGAAAATAAAACAAATTCTTAAGCAAATGGAATGGCAGCAAGGCATATGTTGTACCAATGCCCCATAAAAAGAAAAGAGAAGCTGGCAGCGGAAAACAAACACGAGTGATCTTCTGCGATTTGAAACCTTGGTTCTGGCTCTCACCTTAGCCTAGCCCATTGACTCTGGTAGCCAAACAATTGGACCCCTGTCTGGGCAACCTGGCAACTCTGAACATATGAGCCACAGTGGTGAATATTTATGACCCCTCAGCGCCATTGGAATTTGGTGAGATACCTGCTTCCGAATGGTACTTTGATGAGTGCGCCCCATGTCATCCCCTTTACCGTAGATCACAGCAAGTATTGGATATCGCTCATATGACAACTCTGAACCTCGAATGCTCTGTTGGGCGAGCGTGCCACTGAATTGGCGAATTCTGCAACTGAAATGATCTTCGGCCAGTGACCACCCCAAAAAAAGGTGTAAACTATTGGGGTCACCACTAAACCATTGGGAAAGCCACCAAAAAGGTGGTACAGTCTGCTCACTGAAGCCAGCGCCTCCGTCGCGGCAGCTGCCGGTACCCAGGTCCACCCAATCCCAGCAGCAGGGCAGCTGCGCCAGCAGCTGGGCCGCCGCGGAAGCCTTGGGGACCCTGCGGACGTCACCACAAGGATCCGTCAGGGAAACCACCAAAAGTCCCTAAGGGTCCCAAATAGGTGATCACAAGGGTCCTGGGCCGCTAAGGTTCCCAAGATTCCGGTGATTGGTTGATCACAAGGTCCCCATTAAAAAAGGGGAAAACAAAGAAAAGACAACACAGAGAAAATTACTTTCCAAGCCCTAAACGGGAAAAGTTACCCCTGGGCATTTAGGGGGCCAGGAATATAAAACGTCCAGGGGATTCATTCAAACCAACCACTTTTGAGGTTCTGTGATCAGCAAAACGCACATCGTCACACTCCTTCCCCCGAGGGGGGGGCAGGCAAACCAACATATCAAACAAAATACACAACACCTTCTTCTTTGGTCCCTTTGCCCAAGGGAGGACAAGGTATCCCACCAAAGGACACGTCCCATCCCCTTGTCAGGGATTATCTTTTGCGAAGTGTTTTTCTTGCTGGTGCCAGTAGGATATGACTTTCCGGGTGTTGGGAATGAAGCTAGGGATTCCCTTAAAAGAAAACATAGGCGATTATTTTTGTTCGGGGTCATTCCAACCCATTCCCTGCCTATCGAACCAGCAAGGAAGTGTCTTTTCTACTTTGGCTTGGGCTTGCAAGAAGCGGTCCCCCCCTGGGAAGTGCCCATTGGAGCGGCACCAAGAGCTTCCTTCACTCATCCTGCGAAAAAGGGAGCGTGAAATTAAATCAGCAGGTGATTGGTGGACTGGCTGTCCATTTTGTGATCCCCTGCTAAAAGTGAATAACTTGTGGGTGAAATGCGGAACCCCAACCACCGCTGGGAACCGCCAAGTTGACTGGCCCAAACGTATCCTCCCCATAGCGTGAAAACCGGGTGACAGCAGCCGCCGGGTCTGCTGGAGTCGCATCTGGGAGCTGCAGGATTTGCCTCGCTGGAACCCTCGAAATCAGCCAGTGAGCGGCTTCCCCGGTCTTCGCTTTGGTTTCCTCACTTGGCCAGTGAGCCACAAAAACATGTAACTTTGATTACCACTCAACTAAAGGGACTTTTTTTAAAGAAGTGTGCTCACTGCTCACTGGCTGGGTTCCCCTACAAACGAACTCCAAAAGGGTACCACAAAAAATACAGAACCAGATGTTGTAACTGGGCTGTCCTCGGATCACCTGCCAAAAGATCAACAGTGGGCTAAATATGGAAAACCGACCACTAAACCAGCTAAAAACAACTCAACAACTCAGAATCTGGACGATTCGCTGGGAACTGTCAAGGTGAGGGTCCATAAAAGCCTGACTTATAAACTCCGTGAAGGTTGCCGAGCCCACTCGCCTGGCCAGTGGATCAGCTTCCCGGATGTGGATTGGCTTGGAGGTTGCGATTGGGGTGGCGTCTCATTTACGCACCCTCTACCAGAACCAGGGGCGCCCAC